AGTATTATATAAGGATTATAGTTTCTTAACCGAGTCGCTAGTATTAAGGGTTATAGGGCTAATAATAGGAGCTCGGGGTTTTTTAGTATTAGCTTATTGCTTTTCCTTTACTACTAGCGAAGGTATTATCTAATTATTTATTTCCCGGTAAGTCTATCTTATTAGGTCCCTAACTCTAGCTATTAAGGTAGTTACTACTTTAATTATTAAATCCCTAGATTTTATTTTTTCTAAATAGTACCGTCGTCCTCTAGGTATTCTCGGCTTCGTAAAGCTACTCGTCGCTATATAAATAGAACGGAATAACGAGTTTACGCCCTAGAGACTAGTTTTAATAGGGATAAGGGTATATACCTAAAGCACGCGTAGCACGTAATAAAGGATTAGTAGAGTAATTAACTACGCAATTATCTAATTACTTAGTCTATATATAGCTCTATAGGCTTTAGGTTATAAATACGAGTCTTAGAGATTTCTTTACTCTATGCCTCTTCGTTTCTACTGGAGTCGCGTAACTAGCGGCATCTACTTTAAAGGGGAAAAATAAAAATTTAAATTAACTATAATTAAGGATAATGCTTAATTAGATAATCGAGGTCTTTATAACGCCTTTAAGTATACTTAGAAGAAAGTTAGAGGGGGGGGGGGGGGTGCTAGGGGTCTTATCCCTCTAACGGGCTAATGTCTATAGGGGTATAATCTTGCCCGTTAAACTGCTTTATTTATAGTAGGAACACCGTTCCTTATAATAATAGAAAGGGCCTATATAATAAGACTTATTATAAAGCTTCTATATAACCTTTAGAGGGAAGTCGTTAAGACCGCTTATTACCTATAGAACCGGACCCCTAGGGACCCTAAGGACCTTAGGGAACTAAACTAAGGAATAGACTAGAAATCCCCCCTTAAGCTCTTTACGGAAAAGAGGGCCTCGCTAGCCTACCTTTATGCCTACGGCTATAAGGTATACGCTATAACTGCCGATGCGTAGCTAAAAAGGAAGAAGAAAAGAAAGCTTAATCTTAGAGCCTTTATTAGTTACCTCGTTAGTTATAATTCTATAAATATCTTCCGGATCTAGATTCCTCTTCTATAAAAGGTTATTTCGACTAGGGATATAATTTTCGACGAATCTAGCTTCTTTAATAAAAAGAGGGATTAATAGCCCCTCTTACTCTCTTAACGTTAGCTAATTTAAAGATTTAAATCCTCTCTTCCTAATAGTCTTAAGAAGAGGTCTTAGATAAGAAATAAAAGAAGAAACTAACGTCAAGTAGTTAAAGATAACGCTAACTTGAGAAGGCTACTAGATTAGATAATCTAGATAAAGAAGGAGACTATAGGAAAGCGGTAGAGCTAGAATACGCCTACCTCCCTACGCCTCCTCTTATAGAATAAGAAGAAGATCTAAAAGTAGCTTTTTCGGTTAGTCTTCCCGTCTCGACCCCTAAGGGGGTAGGAAAGGTACCTCTCTTAAAGGATTACCCGGCTGCCTTTTATCCACTTCTGAAGCAAAGGAAGGTATAGGGCCCGATATAAAAGAAGACTAATTACTCCCTTATTTCGATCGTTTTTCCGACTTCTATCTAACGCCTATAGAAGACGGTTCCTACGGAGCATTTATAGTAGGCCGGCTTTTTAAGCCTCTATTAGTAAGAAAGGTATATAAAAGAGACCTCCTAGACCTACTAGTAAACTAAAAGTAACTAGAAAAACACCCCTTTAAAGACTAGTTTTTCTAGGCCTAGAAAGACTACCTAGCCTTATACGAGGAGATAGGGTCTTTTAAAGAGGTCCTTAAGGAAAAAGCAAGAGGAAAATAGGTCCTTAGCTATAAGTAAGTCTTTATCTATAAGACTAATAAATACGGCTTCCTTTAAAAGTATAAAGCCCGGCTAGTTATCTATAGGAATTAATAGGAAAAGGGGGATCTACCTACTAAGGCAACCACCCTAGTAGGGATGTCTTTTCGGACCCTTATAGCTATAGTAGCAGAATTCGACCTCGAGCTCGATTAGATAGATATAGTTAACGCCTTCGTTAACTGCCCTCTTAAGGAAGAAGAAGTTATCTATATACGACTTCCTCTTAGTTTCTAATAACTAGGAAAGGTTCTATAGCTTAGGAAAGCTTTATACGGACTACGAAGATTACCCCTTCTTTAGTAATAGCATTTAATAGGTTCCCTCGAAGCCCTAGGCTTTACGAAAGTCCCTTAGGAACCGTATATAATATAGAAGGGTAAAATCACGGTCTTTTTCTATATCGACGATATTATCTAGGCCTACCTAAAAGAGGAAGAAGCTGCTGCTAGGGAGGCTATATAAGGCCTATAATAAAGGTATAAGATAACTAGGCTAGGAGAGCTAAAGTAGTTCCTAGGGATACGAATCCTTAGGAATAGGTCCTAACGGACTATCTAGCTTACCTAGGACGCCTATATCGATAAGGTCGCTTATAAATTCCTCCTTACTTCCCTCGATAAGAAGCTTCCTACTACGCCTATATTAAACGAAGAGCTTTTACTTAATCCGCCCTTTTAAGCTAGGGAGTAAGAGAAATACTAATATTAATAAAAGGTAGGCTCCTTACTTTTTTTAGCTATTTCTACTAGACCGGATATCTCTTTTACGGTCTCCTAGCTAGCTAGGTATAACTAGAATCCTAGCCCTAGCATTAAGTAGTAGATAGAGCTATCCTTTATCTCTATTTAACGAGATTATATAGTCTATGCTTAGGAGGGTAGGAAAGGAAGAAATTAGCTACCGAAATCTTCCTCTATTCGAGCGATTCGTCCTTTAGATAATTCCTTAGATAGAAAGAGCTTATAGGGGTATATTATATCCCTTTTAAAGGAACTATTACTTAGAGAGCTTCGAAGTAAGCTACCGTTACGACTTCTAGTACGGAGGTAGAGCTACTAGCTCTTTTAGAAGCGTTAAAAGAAGCGATTTTCCTTAGCCGGCTACTAATATCGTTACGACTATAAATTCCGACCCTATTAGCTATAGAATACGATAATACGTAGACTATACGAATTCTTACGGAAAATAGTAAGTTATCGACCTAGCTACGGTATATCGATATCTACTAGCATTAGTTATACTAAGAGGTCTAAAGGGGACTTATTTCCGTCCGTTAGGTTCTAACGGTATTAATAAAAGCTAACGGTCTTACGAAGCCCCTACCGAAGTAGAAGCTAGCTATCTTTTTATAGTAAATTAGGCTAGAAGACGTTTAAGAGAAGCTATCCTTAGAAGCCCGCCTTAAGAGTCTATAAGAGGAGCTAATAGTACGTAGGAGGAAGGAGACGTCTATAGCTAAAGAGAGGAATTAGGACTTATCCTAAAGGAGGGCCCCTAGCTTAATTAGGACTTATTCTTCTTAAAGGCCCCCTTTTTAAGGACTTATCCTTAGAGAAGCCCCCATTTCTTATAGGACTTAATATCCTCCTTAAGGCCCCTATTCCTAAAGTAAGTCTAAAAGAGCCCGGGGCTAAAACCCGGATTTCTCGAGTAGGGGATAAGTATAGACTAAGACCTCCTCTATACGCTTACCGGCCTAGGTATTTAGCTTTACCCTTTCTATAAGGGCAGGCTATAGCTAAGGGGGTGTGTCGCGAAGCGTGGCTTAATTTCATAGTTCTTAGAGATATCTCTTAGCACGAGGGACCTAGGAAGCTAAAAAATAGGTTTTAAAGAAGGAGCTAAAAAGAAGTATAGAGAAGAGGGTAGGGGTATAAGGGGAAGTAGAAGTAGCGATAGCTTCCTATAAAGGTAGCAAGAGATAAGACGGATATACTAGCAACGGCTAGAAAGGAGGGGAAAAACCGGCAAAAAGCTTAGTAGTTAAAAGGATATTAGTAGCTTCTTTAAGTAAGATCTTCTTTATTAATTAAGATACTAGACGGGTATAAAGAGGGGCGTTAGATAGAAGAAAGAAGGATAATTAAGGCAATATAATAATTACTCCCCTACTATAATTGCTGCTCCCGTAAGAATTAAATATCTCTGCCCTACCTATCCGACCCCTTACTTCTACTTTCACCTTTATATATTTTATATATACTTTTTATATCTCTCTTCGCGAGAGTTATATACCTAGGAAGTTTACTAGCTATAATACTAAAGTTAGTTTAAATCTAGCTAAGGGTATAATTAGTTTTTAATTAAATTAATAAACTATACTAACCTACTTATTAATTAGCTAATTAGCGCTTTTAAAAGCGCTTATAAATATACTAATAGTCTAGCCCCGCTATAAGTAAGCCGGCCTAGACCTCGCTTACCTAGACCTAATAACGAATTCGTTAGGACCTCCCCTTAACCCTAGTCTAGGCCCCCTAACTAGGAAAATAAAAACCTAAGGCTAATACTAGTAACTTAATAAGTATAGCGTAAAGCTAGTACGATAACCTAACTACTAGCCTAGCTAAAGGCTAGTATTAATAAAAATAGCCCGCTAAGCCTTATAATAGAAAAATAAAGTAAAGCCTAGAAAGATATTATTATAAGATAAAGTTAAGGATAATTATATAATTAACTATTAACTAAAAAAAAAATGCTTATACTACCGATTAACGCTATATACCCCGCGTATATAAAGGAGTTACTTTCTAAGGTTACTTTATAGCGGGGCTAACGCGATTCCGACTAACTAAAAACGATACCTACGATAGCCGGCGTAAGATTCCTACGTATTGCAACCGCGACCCGGTATAAGGGCGGACTAGCTACGAAAGAGGGGAGGGTTTTCCTCTAGGCACTCTAGTTTTTCCCTCCTATTTAACGCTAAAGTTCTAGATACCTCTAGATAGGTCACTAGTATAATCTCAATAACAATAATAATATAGATATATAAAAAACCCGACTTTTAGTAGGAAAAGGGTGCTGGAACGGGGGTATGCTATAAGCTAGGTGGCTGACGTTATGGATCAGGCCCTTAGTTCCTCGCACATGGAGGGGCAGCACAGGGAGCTAGGCAGTTCTTGATAACAGCTCATGCAGGTGCAAGGTATCATGCGCCTGACAGATGCGCGGGCGGTACTTGAGCGCGCTTCTTTCTGTTACGATGGACTCTTGGCCCTCCAGCTGATGTTCGCCCCTCCATGCCAACTAAACCCCGTCATCACCACGAGCCTCATCCATCCATTCCGTCGCATCCTCCCGAAATCTCCCTCGCGCGCGCTCCTCATGCCCCCCCAAGCTCCCCCCTACCACGCCGCGACCCGCCGTCGACAGCAACCACCACCACAACCACCACCACCTCCCCCGAATCATCACCTACTACCAAACCCACCATGACCCTCACTCCGGCCAGCACATCTCCCTTCTCCCCCTCCTCACCCAGCCCGCCATCTCCCTGACGCACCTCATCCTGGCCGCCGTCCACATCAACGGCGACCCGCAGGCCCTCACCCTCAACGACCACCCCCCGGACCACCCGCGTTTCCAGACCCTCTGGGCCGAGCTGCGCCTCCTGCAGGCCGCCGGCATCAAGGTCCTCGCCATGCTCGGCGGCGCCGCCCGCGGGTCTTATGAGCGCCTCGACGTCTCCGCCGCTGCTCCCGACGACGATGCCCGCTTCGAGGCCTACTACGCCCCGCTGCGCGACCTCGTCCGCGAAAAGGGCCTCGACGGCCTCGACCTCGACGTCGAGGAAAACATGAGCTTGGCCGGCATCATCCGCCTCATTGATCGCCTGCGCAGCGACTTTGGCCCAGACTTCATCATAACCCTCGCCCCCGTCGCCATGGCCCTCCTCGATGCCGAGAAGAACCTGAGCGGCTTCGACTACGAGGCCCTCGAGGTCCTGCGCGGCAACGACATCGCCTGGTACAACACCCAGTTCTACTGCGGCTGGGGCGACCTCTCCAGCACCTACATGTACGATCTCATGCTCCAAAAGGGCTGGCCCGCCCACAAGATTGTCGTCGGCCTCGTCACAAACCCCGCCAACGGCAAGGGCTTTGTCCCCTGGCACATGCTGTCCGCCGTCCTCGCCGCCCTGAAGCGCCGTCAGCAGACCTTCGGCGGCGCCATGGGCTGGGAGTACTTCAACAGCCTGCCCGGCGACGCCCAGCGCCCGTGGGAGTGGGCCCAGCACATGTCATCTCTGCTGAGGAGCCATGCTCTTGCCGCGCCGCCACCTACTCAGCCTTCCGACCGTGCTGTCGCTGCTACCCCTGCTGAAGGGCACGAAATTGATCCAGACGAGACCGGCGGTGATCCCCTGCATGTGCCGGCGCCATTCGAGTACTATTCTGACGGTGGACACAACGACGACTGAATGCGAGCTTGCGCCCACTGCCGCTGTTGCTCTTGTACTGCCTTGCCGTCCCCTGATGCTGGTTCATGATGGATCACGTCGGGAAGGCCATTTCCCTTGATCCGGTCCCCCAACGTCACCTGCGCAACGCGTTTCCCTCGTCGTGTCCAGCCCCAATTGTACATAAGCCCAGCAGAGTCATGCCGTGCAAACGCCCAGCTAGGGGGTTCATTGCCTCCAATGAAACGTCCAAAGGTACATAAGACAAGCCATGGTCGAGTCTCACTCCTGGCTCGTGATGGCGCCGTGCTTGGGCGTCGGTACAGAGAGTCCGACGTCGACGCACAATAGAGGCCGCGTCACCGAGGTCGAAGCAGCCATGGCAAAGAGGGACACCTCGTGCGAGATCTATTCATGTAAAAACAGCAAACATGTCTAACATAAAGCCAGTCGAGTAAACATGGGTCAACTTCCTTCAATCATTTCCACCATTGCATTATCGGCTCAAACTCGGCCCCCATACAAATGCGTCGGCTGTAACACTACAAGTCCACCACAAGCGATCGCGAATCCATCAGAAGCAGACCATCCAGGGGTCGCAACGGGCCTCAACGGTGAAGTTGTAGTAGATGGGGTAGCTGCTCTGGACGGCAGCGATGATTGGGTTGAAGAAGAGGCTGTTGAACCGAGCGGTCTCGCACGTCGAGCAAGGGCCCGAGAGAAAGCCGTCATAGTGAGTCTTGTACGACAGATGGCCGACAACTTTGCCCGTGGCAGCATCAGTAGCATGCAGGGTGAAAACCTCAGGCATGACGACCCAGCTCTGGCTCGCAGGGGTGGTACCGTTGTTGCTAGGGATGGTGGGGTTCTGGTTGAACCAGAGGCTGTTGAGGCCGACGTCGCGCAGCGCCTTGATCAAGAGCAGCGTCATGTGGGTGTCCTCGTCGACCTGGATTCCGGCACAGTCCACGGCGATGGTGAACCCAACGCCCTGAATGGGGCCTCCCACACATTTGCCCGTGCTCTTGTCCCAAACAAAGTGGTTGATGAAGGCCTGCCAAGAATCGGGCCAGTTGATGAAGCGCGGGCTGACGGTGGCAGAGACAGAAAGGGTTCCGGCCTGGGGCGAGGCCGTCGGGGCAGGCTTGCCAGGGGACGTAAAGGGGATAGGGGTGGCAGGAATTTGGGAGAAGTAGGACGTGGTTGGAGCAGCGGATGCTGTGGTCAGAGACGACGTCTGCGAGCCCATGTCCTTGGGGCGAGGAGGGGGATGATTGTCGCGGTTGCAGACAAAAGCACTCCAGCAGACGGCGTCGTGGTTGACAGTCTTGTTGATGGCGGCACTAACAGGGCGACCGCGATAGGCCCAGCAGTTGAGCATCTGGCCGCCTTCCTTGGTGGTGACGGCACTTCCGGCCTTGAAGCCGTCCGGGGTGCCGTCCTCGATGTAGGCTGACCAGACATTGCCGTTGGGCATGGTGGCAGTGGCGCCCGTGGGGACCCAGGGATAGATGCCATCCTTGAAGGGGACCTGGACGGCCATGTCTGGAGCCTCGGGGTACGAGTAGGCGATTGGAGGCCAAGAAATCTCCTGGTACCAGTTCATCTGGCGAGAGGTGGACCAGTCAGGATGCTCCTTGTTGTCGCCGATTCCGCAGTCGCAGAGGATGATGTTTTCCTTGGGGAACTTGAGGGCAGAAACAGTGGCGGCGAGGCCAGCCACGGCGACCATGATGGCCGTGCGCTTGAAGGCAGCCATTCCGACGTCTTGATCGAGGCCTTGGCTTGCGGGATGCTTGTCGCTTGAAGTGGGAATGACTGAGTGGAGAGAAGAGAGAGGGAGGAGTGCAAAGAGAGCGGCTGGTTGCGGCAGGCAGCGGATGGAGGATGAGCTGCTGGAGCAGTAAATGGGAGAAAGGGGAGGAGAAGATGAGAGAGAAGAAAGTGAGGAAGAGAGGAGAGGAGGCGACTGTGGGCGATGGAGGACGAGCTGGGGCGCCTTCCAGCAAGCAGGCGAGGCAGTTACCTGACCGCAGGCCCGACCAGGTGACTTCCGATTGAGGAAGCTTGAGTCGACGCAGAGACAGCCCTCCTACCTTGCCCCCTTGGACACATCAGGCAAGATCCAAGGGGGGGAGACTCGACTCTGCCAGGTGCCAGAGAGTGGCCGCACCGGCGTCACTGACGACTCAACCCTTCCCCCCCTCCCCCACGTCACGTCGCCGACACCCAAGGAACAGGCATCTCTGGCCATGTCTAGGAGCCCTGAACGACACCAGGGCTCTCTGATGCGGGCCTCAGAGAGTCATCGACGTAAGGAAGTCGAACGGTATTGTCTGGCCTTTGTCCTTCCCTTCCCGCGTGCAGGAGCCTGCCGATGCCAGTGTCCCGTCCTGCACAGTAGATGTAAACAATGCATTGGAAGGCTATGAGGCTCCCAGTGATGCGCCGCATTGAAAATCCCCAGGCGGTGAAGATTGAGGAGAATGGCTCCTCGCTCCCGGGTAGCCAACTGTGTACCCAGGAGCTTAGCTAACCAAGGCTCACCACAATGGCAAGCTCATCTAATTATTTTGAGTCCATGACCGAGGCGCAACAGGACCACAAGTTCACTACGAACCAGTACTCAATCCTCCTCTCTCATCATCACCGTCGACGCCATGCTTCGCCGTACCCCACCCCTCTACACATGGCCTCGCCAACTGCGAGCGCAGCGCATAGCCCGCTCTGCACGGCATTCATCCTCGCAATCTCCTCCATCTCAAGCTTCGCGCATTGATCGCATCACCTCCAAGCTTCCCAAGCGCTTGCAAAAGTATACCACGCGTCTCCGCAACGCGCCAGGCTCCCACGTCGTGGCCTTTCTCATCCTGCACGAGCTCACAGCCATCGCCCCTCTCGTCGCCCTATTTGCCATCTTCCACTACACCACCTTCATGCCGGTTTCGTACGCGACCGAGCATTTGGGAGAAAACATCCAGAGCGGCATCACGAGGTTTGAGCGCTACTTTCGCCGAAAGGGCTGGTTTGGATTTGGCCAGGACTCGTCGATGGCTGAGTTTGAGCAGGCTGCTGAGAGCCAGGGCAAGTCTCACACGGAAACCGTCATGGAGCAGTGGAAACGGGGAGACCGCAAGTACGAGATCCTCCTGGAGGTGGCGCTGGCGTATGCCGTGACCAAGGCTTTGCTGCCGCTCCGAATAATTGGCAGTGTCTGGGCTACACCCTGGTTTGCGGGTGTACTCACGAGAATCAGGGGCTCCTTGACGCGCAAGTCCTGATTGACACGAGGTGGCTCAACAGAATTGAATGCTGGAGGTTTCTTGATTTTCATCTCTTTCCTGTCTTTTGTGAAAGCCACGCATCTTTTTGCGAGTGTCAGGGAGCATCGTCGCGATCCACCTGGGATGCGTTTAGAGCTTGTCAACGGGGAGTCCCTCGCAAGCCGCGGGCTCCTCAGTCTCGACCTTGACCCTCTTGTCCTTGAGGTCGTATACCCACTCCTTGCCGGAAGAGCGGTAGTTGATGAGCACCTCGCCCTTGAACCATTGCTTAATCTCCTTCTGAGCGCTCTCGACCGAGTCGGAGCCGTGGCAGACGTTGCGGCCCAGGTGAATGGCGAAGTCACCGCGGATGGTGCCGGGGGCCGAGGCCAGCGGGTCGGTAGCACCGAGCATGACTGGAGAACAAGTTTCAGTGGCCGAGTATCTTGTGCTGCGGGGAATCCAACTTACCACGGCCGGTCTTGACAACGTCAAGGCCCTCCCAAACCATGGCGCAGACGGGGCCGCTGGACATGACTGCAGAGTGTCAGGACAAGCTGTGCCGGTGGTGTATTGAGACGAAGCGAACTCACAGTCGACCAGGTCGTTGAAGAAAGGCTTCGTCTTCAAGTCTTGGTCTGCAAGTAGTTAGCATGAAGAGATGCTTTGAAGAGCAGGCAGGGGGACGAACAGTGCTCCTGCATGTGCTCTTTGGAGGGGTGGATCAGCTTCATGGCGACGAGCTTGAAGCTATGACAAGGTCAGTCCAAGCCGGCGAGGCAGAAGTAGAGACAGAACCCTTACCCGCGGTTCTCGAAGCGGGAGATGATGTTGCCGACGAGACCACGCTTAGGGCATACTGTCAGCGCATCTCTCCATGAGGTCCAGGGAGCATGCTTACTCGGACGCCATCGGGCTTGACGGCGATGAAGCTATCCACTCGTCGTTAGATTCCTTGGGAGGGGTAACATGGCGGGGTCGACAGGGCCACTCACGTCCGCTCGTTAATGTTAGACATGATGTAAGATTCGAGATGAGATTTCCGAGTGCGGGGAAATGGAAGCGAGGTTTGACTGAGCGGGAGAAGCTGGATGCAGAGGCAATTGATACGAGGAGAAGCAGAGGTGGAAGAGGAAATTATATGCAATTTGTGGTGCGGGCAGAGGGGTCTTGCTTGGAGGAGCCCCGCAGCGGGCAGCGGCTCGTTTGTGCCCAATGGGTGAATCTGTGGCGGTGTTTCACGAGCCACAGGAGCTGGACCTCTCTGCACATCAACAAGGTCGATGCGAGTTAAGTTGCTTGGTGCAGTGTGGCAGGATGAGCTCATGACTTACCTACGCGAAGCATGAAGAAGCATGATGTTATGCTGCGAGTTCTCTGACCTCTGCCGACTCCGATCCTGTATGACCTGTTCTGACACTTCTGTCTTGCATTCTGCGCTGGCCCGTCTGTCAAGCCTCGTCTCTAAGCTCTGCAACCCGCCAAGCGACCAAATATTTACATTTAGTCTTGGTGCAGTGTAGCTCTCGAAAAGGCAAGAAATACTTGCTGCATCGTCCAAAATACAGGATTCTGCGACGTTGGACGCAAGCTTCCAAGCAAGAGTGCCTGGTGCGATTGAAACCCAGAGGGGCAAATGCCCCGCCAAAGCTCTCTCGGGCCTGTTTGGGGCTAGGCTTGATCCGGAGCTGCTATGCAGGGCATCCAGGCAGATATCCTAAGTTACGTACCGAGCAAGTGGCAGGAGGTAATTAGGTACTTCGGAAGTTCGGATTAGGTAGGGGACAGCTTGACATCGGGACTGTCACCACCTTCACCCATCATCTATCCACAGCAAAACCCCCCTTCTCAAAGCCTGGGCACGCGTTGGAATCCACCCCGTGCTTCTCATGCTCAACCAAGTCCATTCAGCACTCGTCTATTGAGCTCAATTGTCCCTTGCGACGCTCCAGGAACGCGTCCTCGCCATGAGGTCCCTGTCCGGGCTGTCCCGGGACTGGACAGCGCTCCTCTGCTTCGTGGCGGCTTTGGTCTGCCTCTTGCAGCCCGCAGGTCCGACAGTTCCGAGGTCCTGGGATAAACTTACAATGCAGGCTGACATTACCCCTAGCATCCGTCAAGGAACATGACTTCAAAAAGTGCCATCAGTCTGGCTTCTGCCAGCGCAACCGAGCCTACGCCGACAACGCCGCAGCCCAACACCCGACTTGGAGCTCGCCCTACCGAGTCATTCCTGAATCCCCGTCCTTGAAGGACGGCCAGCTGCATGCCACGATCCTTAAGACGACCAACGCAAAGGGCGACACGGAACGATTCCCCGTCACTGTCTCATTTCTCAAGAGCGGGGCGGCACGAGTCACCATCGACGAGGAGAAGCGCCAAAAGGGAGACATTGCGCTCAGGAACAACAGTCCCGTGAGAAAGGAACGCTATAACGAAGCCGAAAACTGGGTCATCGTTGGCGGCCTGGACCTGGACAAGTCGGCGCAGGTAGCCTTCCAGGACAAGTCGCAAGTCAACGTCAAGTATGGCCCCGACTCCAAGCTCGAGGCCGTCGTCAAATTTGCGCCGTTCGAAATGGAATTCAGGCGGGACGGGAAAACACACATCAAGTTCAACGGCCGTGGTCTTCTCAACATGGAGCACTGGCGGCCCAAGGTGGAAAAGCCCGAGGGACAGGAGGGTGAAGTCGCCACCGGCGAAGACGAGAGCACCTGGTGGGAGGAGACTTTCGGTGGAAATACCGACTCCAAGCCTCGTGGTCCCGAGAGCCTTGCATTGGACATCTCTTTCCTGGGATACGAGCACGTCTTCGGCATCCCCGAGCACACCGGGCCCCTGTCGTTGAAGCAGACCCGGGGAGGCGAAGAGAACCATCAAGAACCCTACCGAATGTACAACTCGGACGTGTTCGAATATGTCCTCGACAGCCCCATGACGCTCTACGGCTCCATCCCTTTCATGCAAGCACACCGCAAGGAGTCGTCTGTCGGTGTCTTCTGGCTCAACGCCGCCGAGACATGGGTAGACATCATCAAGGGCAAGGACGGCGACAACCCTCTTCACCTTGGGCCCGGCGCCAAGACCAGCACGCACACCCACTGGATCTCCGAGAGCGGCGTCCTCGACGTCTTCGTCTTCATGGGCCCGACACCCCACGACCTTACCAAACTGTACGGCGAGCTCACTGGCTACACGGCCATGCCCCAGGAGTTCTCCATCGGTTATCACCAGTGCCGCTGGAACTACATCTCGGACGACGACGTGCGCGACGTCGACCGGAAGATGGACAAGTTCAAGATCCCGTACGACATCATCTGGCTGGACATTGAGTACACGGACGATAGAAAATACTTTACGTGGGAGCCGCACTCGTTTCCGGATCCGATTGGAACAGGCAAGCAGCTTGACAGCCACGGCCGCAAGCTGGTCGTCATCATTGATCCCCACATTAAGAAACTGGACGAATATCCAGTTAGCAAGCAGTTGACGTCTCAAGACCTCGCCGTCCATAACAAGGACAACGAGATTTACGAGGGGTGGTGCTGGCCCGGCTCCTCCAACTGGATCGACTGCTTCAACCCCAAGGCCAACGAGTGGTGGAAGACGTTGTACAAGTACGATTCATTCAAGGGCACCATGGAGAACACGTTTATCTGGAACGACATGAACGAGCCCTCGGTCTTCAATGGCCCCGAGACGACGATGCCCAAGGACAACATCCATTACGGACGCTGGGAGCATCGCGACGTGCACAATCTGAATGGCCTCACCTTTCACAACGCCACTTTTGAGGCCCTGATAACGCGCAAAAGGGGAGAGAAGCGCCGGCCGTTCGTCCTGACCCGCTCCTTCTACGCAGGCTCGCAGCGGCTCGGCGCCATGTGGACTGGCGACAACCAGGCATCCTGGGATCATCTCGCCGCGTCCATCCCGATGACCTTGAACCAGGGCATCTCGGGCTTTCCCTTTGCCGGCGCCGACGTCGGGGGCTTTTTCGGCAACCCCGAGAAGGACCTGATGGCTCGTTGGTATCAAGCTGGCGCCTTTTACCCCTTCTACAGGGGCCATGCGCACATTGATTCGCGTCGCCGGGAGCCGTACCTGCTCGGCGAACCGTACACTGGCATCGTGACGGCCGCCTTGCGACTGCGCTACTCGTTGCTGCCGTCGTGGTATACGGCCTTTTTCCACGCCAACCGGGACGGCAGCCCCATTGTTCGGCCCATGTTCTGGACGCACCCGTCGGAAGAAGACGGCTTCGCGATTGACAACCAGATGTTCGTCGGATCGACTGGTCTGCTAGTCAAGCCGATTGTGGAACAGGACAAGGAGTCGACGGACGTGTGGATCCCCGATAACGAGGTCTACTACGACTACGCAACCTACCAGGTGATGAAGACGCAAAAGGGCAAGCCTCTGACCGTGCAGGCCGCGATCCACCAAATCCCGCTCCTGATGCGTGGAGGGCACATCTTCCCGCGCCGTGACATTCCCCGGCGGTCCAGTGCCATGATGCGTTTCGACGACTACACGCTGGTCGTCTCGGTCTCCAAGAGCGGGGGAGCCGAGGGCGAGCTGTACACGGACGACGGCGACACGTTTGACCACGAAAAGGGGCAGTATATTTACCGCAAGTTTAGCTTGACCGGGAACACGCTGTCGTCGGTTGACGCCGAGGGTCGCGACATGAAGAAGGTCAAGGCGGGCACCTGGCTGAAGGCGATGCACGAGGTGTTTGTTGACAGGATCATCATTGTCGGAGCCCCGTCGGCGTGGGATCGAAAGGAAGTGCATATTGAATCCAAGGGCCAGAAGTGGGCCGTCAAGGCTGAATACCACGCCGCCGAGAAGGGGCGAGCTGCGTTTGTGGTGCTTGGCCGGGTGGGAGCTCGCATCGGACAGGACTGGAGCATCAAGCCCAGGGCCTGAGGCGAGGTGGACGCCAAAAGCCTGACGGGATTGGTAGAGGGATGATCGGGGACGGAACTGTTTTGTTGCGGTACTTGTGCGTAAGTTGTTGTAAGAGATGCTGCAGCTACGTTGTATGAAGAGCCTGACGCCTGGGACTGTGGGGACGAATGACTTGCTCCATTCACGCTACATGACATGGAGATACGGAAAGTGCCTCACAGGCTAATTAGGTCGAAGTAGACTTAAGCTCGAGGCTGCGTTGCATGGCGCACTCAGGGGGTAGGGATCGACAGGGCGGACTCGGGGGCTGCCACAAGCCTCCTTCAGCAGAGGTAACTTAGGAGGCTGCAAGTACGGGTGGTAAACTGTGAGAGAATGGGTTTTGGGGACCGAGTTATGTACATGCACGGGGCGAGTGCGCTGCACGCATCCAGTAGACGTCGCAGGCCACGGTGTGCCCTGCATCTACGGCGGCTGGGGAAACACGTCGGGCTGCAGGCAAGCAAGGAGGCGATTGGGACGATGCGGCTGATGATGAGCAGGCGCCGTGGGTGCGCAGAGCAGATTACGCCGGGGATAATGACGCCGTGTACCGGTAGTACGAGATATGCCGTGTATCTTCCAGATACGTAACAGGACGCAAGATGGATGCCGATCGGGGCGCGATCGACGACGGTGTGACCGGGGAGCATGGATTGCGTCTAGCCGCCGCGTGCCGCTACTGTAGGGGAACACGAGCTCGGCGGCAGCCGGCTACATATAGGAGGACGAGGCAAGCGCCCGGATACACAGGCACAGGCCAAGAATGCGTAGGCATTAGGGTTCGCTGAGGTCGAGGTCGACTTGAGATGACGGCCGGGAAGGACGAGGGAGACACGGGCCGGGATTGGTGTTTGGGCCAGGGCGGGCACGGCAAGCCAAAAGGCCCAGCCCTCGTGCAAACCTGGCGCAGAGACGAGGCGGCGTTTCATCGAGGCAGGGGTGGGCGGCAGCGAGCCCGAGTTTGGGTTTGCGATTGGCGACTCAGTGAGCCCGTGGTTTGCACAAGTACCAAATGAATGACGGTGGTATCTGATAAAAATAAAATAAAATAAAATGGCCGTCCGGCTGCGAATTTGCACGCAGGCGGCGGAATTGCAAATGCAGCACCGAATTGGGAGGGTGCATGTAAGACGGAGCTCCCCGAGAGTGTCACGGCTTGTTCCCGGCCGTGCCGGCTCCGGGCGATCTCGGCCCGATCCACACAGGGCGAGGCATAACATTGGGGCCGGCGGGAGGAACTGCACGGAGTACTCACTGTGTGAGCAATTAATTATTGCATTGTCGCAAAGGGCTGGGTGCATAAAATGCCGAGTTGTGCATGGCAGCAGGCTTGGCAAGGACTCGGTCAGCTATCTTGATTATGTACAAACGGTATCCGCATGGTACGGAGCATTCGTTTCATGTGTTTGCTGGCTGCAACGGTGAGAAGACGGGCCTTTGGGGCTTGCTTGCCCAACGGCGCCGCACCGTGCTCATTTGCCGATTGTTTCCTTGCCTGCGGTATCTCGCGTATCTCTGCCTGCTTGCCGGTAGGGTTAGGGGAGCACTGGTACGAGCTCTCGGAAGCTTCGGTAAGGAACCCCTGGGGCATGGACGTGCAGTGCCAACGAGCATCGGTGGCGTCACCGCGTCGAGATGTCCCTGTTTCCCAGGCACATGACGACGCCATTTCGGACGACAGGCGCAGCAGGGCCTGGAATATTCGATGATTCCATTTTTATTCTTATTTTTGGAAGCCAGTGGGAGAGCCTCGTTCTACATGGTCTCAGCGCCCTCCTTGACTCGTCGCCGTCTCCTTGTCACTCGTCACCGACTTTGGCCTGTGCTTTACTAGGTAGGTAGTACCCACCTGATAGTTACCTTAGCTACCTTAAGGTACCTAGGTACCGACCTAGGCATAGGTACTCCGTACAAACAGAGAAAACATCCACGCGGCAGCACAATGTGGGCGCCCTCCGTCTCCACCAAAAGTCACGGCGGTGGAGAGCCAGGGTAACAAGTCAACAAAGGACGGACGGAAATACACTGTACAGTAATTAGTGGCCCGGCGCTGTCTTGGTCTTGGTTGCTTGGTGGTGCTCGACCGCCATCTCGGCTTGTGTGCGAGCGAGGCAACAACCACACTGCTAGCTAGTCGGGAAGCTCCTGCCCAGCAACCCTGGAGTCTATCTCCCCCCATCTCTCCCTCTCTGGACCAGCCTATCTGTCCGTCAAGGTTTCAACGGACCTGAGCATCATTTCTTTCTCCCTCCCCTACCTCATCCCACCATCATCCATCTCGCCTTCTCTCCCCGGCCGAGGACGCTGGCCTTCTCATCATCGACATGGATGGCACGAGCCCCTAACCGTCATCCATCGCCATTCGCCTCACCTCCTCGTCGCAGAACCCTGCCGGGCATACCCACTTGCATTTCGTCATTGGCTCCCCACCGCGACCCGACGGCAAACACCAAGTCGTCGCCGTCCAACCACAAGAAATCTTTTGTTGCTCTCTTGCGCCCGGGGAGAAACTTACCGCCCTTGGACGTCGTCGTGTAAAGCAACAAGAAAAAAAATTCACGTCTCAGGTCCGATGAGTCCTCACGTCTTCCATTAATGTTTCACCACCCCAGCGTTCCATCGCTATCGGGCATTGCTACTCTCTACCCACGCATATACACTGTCTCGCCGACGGGTCTTTTTCGACATGGCTGGCTTGGCAGACGATGAGCCCGCTGCTTCTTCTCAGCAACCTCACCATCGACCCCAACAGCAGCCGCTATCGCCCCATCAGCAGCCGCCATCACCACATCAGCAGGACGAATTCGACGAGAAGCATTCGGCCCCCTCGCTCGAGACCTTCAACACCCAGGCCACCGCAAACGACCCCCACTGCAACGACAACCACTCGGGCCTGCGAGCCGAGGCCACCCGCCTCAATGACGATCTCGAGCTTCTCCGGGCCGAGCGCTTCGTCTCCAACCAGGAGCAGGAGCTGGCCTCCAAGTATAAGAATCGGATCCATAACCCCGAGCCCGAGGATGCCTTCAACCAGCCCGCTTCCAAGGACGTGACGGCCAAGCCGAAGAACGAGGATGCCGCCCTCTACAGGTTCTGGCTCTTCCTCAAAAAATTCCCCCGCTTCGTCCGCTACATCGTCTATCTCATCCCCGGCGCCGCCTTGCTCCTCATCCCCGTCCTCCTCGGCGCCTTCAGGTTCAGGCCCGACGAGAAGCTCGTGGGCGGCAATGGCGGCGTCGAGCTCCTGTGGTTTGGCATCTGGCTCGAGATTGTCTGGTGCTCGCTCTGGCTGTCCCGTCTCGTCACCAGCCTCATGCCGCACCTCTTCTACAGCCTCGCCCGCGTCGGCGGCTCGATAAACGCCAAGAAGTGGAAGGACATTGGCCAGCAGCTTGAGCTTCACACGGCCCTCTTTCTTTGGTTCCTCGCCATCCTCATCTCCTTCATGCCCACGAACGATGGCCATCGCGGGCCCGTCGACGACACCAAGGACGTCAACATGGGCTGGATCGACATTGTCAACAAAGTCATCATTGCTCTCTTCACCCTCGCCTCCCTCAACTTTGTCGAAAAGATTGTCATCCAGTGGATCGCCACCTCCTTTCACCAACGCACCTACTCGACCCGCATCGTCAACAACAAGGCAGATGTCCGCCAGCTCGTCCAGCTGTACGAATTCGCCAAGGCCAAGCTCGAGCACAGCGACAGCTTCTGGCAGAGGACCAACGCCCCCGGCGCCAGCGGCGCTCAGACGCCCTTGCAGTCGTTTCATGAGAACGCCCGCCAGGTCCTCGGCAAGGTCGGACAGGTCGCCAACAAGGTCGGCAACGACCTCATCGGCCGCAAGGTTGACACCAATGTGCCCCGTCAGGTCGTCTCGGAGCTCCTCCGCAGCACTCTAGCAGCCCATACCCTGGCCCGGCTGATATACAGAAGCGTGGTGCGCGACGATCGCGACACCGTCTATCCCGACGACTTGAAGCACGTCTTCGAGACACAGGATGAGGTGGACGCTGCCTTTAGTGTCTTCGACAAGGATCTTAATGGAGACATTTCCATTGAAGAGTTCGAGACCGTCTGCAACGAGATTCACCTGGAGAAAAAGGCTATTGCCGCTTCGCTCAAAGATCTGGACTCGGTCATTGAGAAGCTCGACAAGGTCTTTCTCGTCATCATCGTCGTCATTGCCGTCATTGTCTTCATCTCCATCTTGTCAGGCTCCGCCGCGGCTGGTCTCGCGTCGGCCGGGACCTCGTTCCTGGGTCTCGCGTGGATGCTGCAGGCCACGGCGCAGGAGTTTCTGCAGTCCGTCATCTTCGTCTTCATCAAGCATCCGTTCGACGTCGGCGACCGAGTCACCATTTACGGCTCCACGGGCGCCGACATGACGGGTGACGACTACTACGTGACGGAGATCTCGCTGCTCTACACCGAGTTTAAGAAGATGCAGGGCCACATTGTTCAGGCACCCAACTCTCTGCTCAACACGCTCTTCATCCTCAACCAGCGCCGGTCCAACGGCCTTGCCGATGTGCTGCCCCTGGAGATGCGGTTCGGCACGCCGGCCTGCCTGATTGACGAGCTCAAGGATCGCATGCTCGACTATTGCTTGAATAACAAGCGCGACTTCCAGCCCACCATCATCACGGAGATGACCAAGCTCGATCAGGTGCGCTCTTGCCACATGAACATGGTGTTTATGCACAAGAGCAACTTCCAGAACGAGCTCCTCCGTCTCAATCGCCACAACAAGTTTGTGACGGAACTCATGCACCAGATGACGCAGCTTGGCATCCAGGGTCCGCTCCGCGTGGACCCCGGCGGCAGTCGCGAGTATCCCATGTACTGGGCTGGCCCGACCCCGCCGCCAGTGTCTGGTAGGGAACAGCCACAGGACGACCACGGACCGGCGCCGCATGCCGTGCCGAATGCCGTGCCGCCCAACATGCGGATGCGCAGCGGAAGCGTGCGGAGTCAGCGCCTCCCCACGACGAACGAGGAGGCAATCCTCGGGTTCCAGGACGTGATTGAGAACCGGCGAGACCATACCCTGACGCATCGCATGGCGTCTATCAGGGAAAAGGAGCGTGGCCTCAAGAGCGAGGCCGAGGCCGATGTCCAGGCCACGGCGTCTGGCATTACTCGGTCAGTCTCTCGGGAGTCGTGGTCGCAGTCTCGGTCGCGGATTTTTGGACGCGCGCGCACCTGGACGCGAAGCCACCAGGATGAGCCAGTCTGACGTTCTTGGCATGCTTCCACCATTTTACGACTTGACGATTGTATTCACTTTTGACTTTGGCGAAATGACGCAGTAAGTCGGGGATGTAGTCGCCCCTTGTCTCGACATTGAATTTCCCTTTGCATGGTAAGCGGGTAGGTAGGTGGGAACATGAAAGGTCGCCGGTGAGCGCCGGCGTTGCAGCGAAAGAAAAAAAAGATGGCATTGTATAAAAGGTAGACTAGAAGGTGGACGAAGCATTCACCAAGACGAGCCAAATACACGGCGTTGGATGTAAAGGGCTTGATCCGAGAGGCTGACGTGACGGTAAGCCTTTCAGCTGGGCTGATTGCTCAGTCCCGAGCTGGATGACTGGACCATTGGTTCTTGCTTGGCCTCGAGGTTTAATGCAGTTGTTGAAGAAAGTTGAGATGGCGGTCCGAGCGACGAAGACGGCGACTTTGGTTCCAGGGGCGGCTGGATCGTCGTCAGCGCAAATAATGGCGACGCTTGTAAATTGGCCAGCGGGCCAAATGTCTGGCATTTATTTCAGCCGGCCTCAGCTGCTGGGCTGTCACATTCGCAGACGGGCCAGGGTGTGGCTAGTTGGCCGAGAATGCCATGCGGTGGCGTGTCTCTTCTGTCACTGCGGCGAGAGCCAGAAATAGATGCTGTCCGAGGCCCTTTGGTCATGGCGAGGCTCTGTCTGGCTTTTGCTGTCTTGGATGACGATAGGGTTGACGGCGCCAAGGCTTGGTGGTGGGCTGCTATAATTGGGGTGGGTTAGGGGGGTACATACGAGGTGGTGGGCTCGGGGTGGGCTCGGGGTGGACTCGGGGCGGGCCCGGGCTGTACCTTGCTACCGCAGCTGGCTAGCACCTCTCGATAGGGCGACGGAGGCGAGAGCTGTCAAACTCTCCCTCTCGACAACAACCCGCCCAGCGTCGTCGAGCCCGTCAGCCACACCATCAGCCAGTCGGAGACAATGTCTTTGGTTCCCTGTCATCCTCTACACTCCGAGTAATCATGGAGGATCCAGACCCCGCCGCTGTGCCGTCCGTCGGTCCAGCGTCCCCCCTCTTGGCACCACCCACACCCACGTCGGAGGGAACCGCACGGCTCTCAGCCGCGGTTTATTATGGCGGGGCAGGGCCGCTTGCTTTTCTGCGGGATACGACCTCTTTTCTACCCTCTTCTCCTGCAGCTCACCCTTGTCGACTTGGTTCCGTTTAGGCACGTCGTTTGCTTGGCTTTGAGCGTTGCCGTCGTGTCGAAAGGCTTCTCCACTCTGTTGCTTCTGGCCCCCCTCGTCCCCTCTCTCCTTTCCCCTCTCGTTTGTTGTTGATTGTGGACAGATCGACCAGGGACGAGAAAAGTAGCGATTTGTCCCTTTTGCGGCTGTGGTTGATCTTACGCCGGTGATGTCTTTTCAGCCTCGAGGCCAGCAAACGTGACCATCGGAAGCCCTTTGTTTGGACCGCAGCCACAGACAACTGCGGAAAAAGACAGGGATAGCATCCAACAGGGGATCCGGAGCTATGGTCGGGCTGCCCCCGGGCTGGGAGGCCGACTACGACGGCCGCCGCTGGTTCTACACCTACAGGCCGACGGGCCACGCCCAGTACAGCTTCCCCAGCGAGGGCGACGAGTTCCCTCACTTTGTCGACGCCTCGGCCCCGGCCCCCGACCTGGCCCCGGAGGAGCGCCACGAGTCGGAGCAGCAGGTCCGCCGGCAGTCCGAGGGCGGCGGCGGCGGCGGCGGCAACAAGCCCCAAGAGCCCGCCGGCCAACCGCGCATGTCGGCGACTGCGGCGCACCCCGTGAGCAACCTATGGGAGGCCGACTTCAAGATAGCGGCGCACGAGCTGCTCGCCGAGGTCTCGCCGCCGCCGCCGCCCGTCTTTGACCCTGTGGGCATCGTCGCTGAGATGCCGACGGAGCACACGCCCGTGTCGCGTATCGAGATGCACCCGGAGCCCGCTGAGTTGGGCGACAACTCGATCCTGGCCCCGGTCGAAAGGGTGGCGTCTCCTTCAGATCAGCAGCAGGGCCTTCATCAGCCATCGTCCGAGGCAGGGCAACAGCCATCCTACCAGCCATACACCCCTGACCCGGACAGCACGTATCTTCGGCCCGACAAGAGGAAAAGCCAAAGCGCGTTTTTGCAGCGCGACGTCTCGCTCATGCTGAGTCTCAAGCTGCCGGGGAACCTGGAGCCGAACACCGTGCCTCGAGTTCTTTCGCCGCCGCAAATGCCCCCGAAAGTGCCACCGCAACACGAGGCTCCACGGCAAGACGCTTTCCAGACCGAAAATGCGCCTTTGGCCACTGAGCCTGTGCGAAGCGACGGCCAAGGCATGTCTCTGCAACGACCTGCTCAGTCAACGACTCCTCCCGATTCTCAGTCGTCTTTCCAGCCGGGACACGAAAGGACGCAGAGCCAAGGCGCCCTGTCCAAGTTCCCCTCGGTCCTGAAGCCAGCCCGCGGCAGGATCGCCGTGACCCCTTCCCAGCAGCAATCACTCTCTTCTGAGAAGAGAAGCTCCGCTCCGAGTTCCGTGAGCTGGAAGACGACTTGGGAGGCAACCCCTCCTCCGCCCCTGACAGCTCCTCCGGCTTATGTGCCGTATCAAAAAGGACCGGATGACCAGACGGCTCCTCAGCCGCAGAAGGCGTGGCAGGCCGAAGAGCCTCTCCGACAAGCGGGCGTCGGCATAGCCAATCCTTCTCTGCGGCAGAGCTCGCCTTGCACTCCTCCCCGACGAGGACCGGGCTCGGCGCAGCAGCAGCCAGGCTCAACAGGCACAGCATCGCCGGAGCAGGGACTCCGCCGCGCATCCCCACGCAGTGTGCGAGATGTATCTCCGATTCGATCGGGATCCGCGAGCCTCTCATCTAGGCACCCGATCAGGACTCCGTCGCCCGTCGAGCCGTTCCCGCGCGGCTCGTCAAACGCATCGCCCTCCCAGGGCGCCAACGGAGCGAGCTACACGCCCGCGTCGGTGCATCATACTCCTGGTTCAGCGCCCCGGATGGCCACGCAGGATCGTACACAAGGAAATCGAGGGCCTACTGTACCAGACAAGATCCCTCTGGAACACATGGATGGGTCATATTTCCCTTCGCAGATGCTGGGACGTGGCGGGCAGAGTCAAGGCCGGCCAGACGCTTCCTCGTCGTCCCTGCCGCTCCGATATCCGCCTGAGGAGTATCCCATAGGCTTTCAGGTCAAGTCGAATCTTGCGCAGAGGCGCACAGGTTCGCCCGCGTCTCAGAAAGGTGTCCCAGGTGCTCAGCAGTCAAATCACCAGACGCCACTGTCGACACCGCACGACTCCGCCGCCTCCACGCCCAACTACAAGCTCGGCCGCATCGAGGAAGACGGCGAGCGGGGAGCGGTCGCCAAGGCAAAGATTGTGGCGCAAAACGCTGTTCCCATATCGGTGGCCTCGAGCACGCAGCCATCTCCTCCGGCACGTATATCAAGTTTGCAGGCTTACACTTTTTCGGTCTCAGCCGGAGTGCCCACGCAGGGAGATGCGAACTCACAGATGTCGGGGCAGACAGGCTCGCCGCCTCGAGAGCAGCACCCGGAGCACTCGAAGACGAGGATCCCGTCCGATAGCACACTGTCTTCGCAGGGAATGGGAATGCCGTCCATACGCCTGGTCCAATCTCGGGAAGGACCGCACGCGGTAGATTCTGGATCGTTCGGCCAGCCTTTGCAGTCGCATCCCATTGGCAAGACCCCGGTGTACATGGTTGAGCCTCTGCAGGGATTGCCCGCAGCTCCTGCTCCGGGGCCTGGGGCGAGCAAGCTGGCTGGGATGGATAAGGAGAAGAAGTGGACCAAGTGGTTCAAGAGCTCGAGGCTGTCGCGAAGCCAGAAGGAACAGGCGCACTTTGGCCAGATGTTGGGGGCTGGCAATGCGAACCAGCTGCCAACTCGGCCGGCGGATGGACAGATAGTTTAGTACATGTTGATTCTTACCTTATACACGCGCGTCGTTGCATATCAAGCAAGCAGGTAAATTATGTATGGGAGGCCGATTTCAAAATATGTACCTTGGGTAGGTCTGTAGATACTATTAATGCAGAATTAAGGCAGCTACAAGGCGTTGGGGTGCCGCCGACTAATTAAGGCGGCATCCAAGGATAGGCAAAAGCGTTTGTAGCCAGGGCAGCCAGTCTGGCATCCAGCAGCTAGTCGAGCAGCCGGGCGAGTAGTCAATCAAGCAACCACTGCGGCTTGAGGCGGCGCCAGGCCGATGAACTCTGGATGTGCTAGCGAAGAAAGCCTTCAATGGCAAAAACACGTGACAGCGTGTCGAGAACGCGCCAGCACGCAAGACGTGTCCCACCCCCGCCGAAATGAATCGCCGGCCTCGCTTCTCCCCCAACCTTTGCACAATTCACGCACAAATGGGGCGGCTCGAGTCCCCAGGCAAGATGGCGCTGGAAGCAGTCAACGAATCCCAGGACAGCCAGGCAATCTTTGACGCCCACCAGGCGCTGTTTGGCGTCGCATCGGTACGTACCCTCCAGGGAACCCTGGCTGCACAATCAATCGCCGGCTCACGGTGCTAACTCTCAAAAGATCAGCGGCTCGCTGGGCTCTGCGCGGTTAATTGCTGCCAATATCGACGTGTCAGAGGCAGTCGATGGACAAGCGGACCGGTCAACCAGTCGCCGCCTCGTCGTCGAGGGTGAAGAAGCAGCCGGGGTGGTGCCAGCGTGCATGCGTGACAGCCAGGTTCGTTTGCGTGTGGCTGGCTTTGCCTGGGCCAATCGGCATGCTGACAGGACGGCTTGGGTAGGGGAAAAAGAAATTCCAGGCAGAAGCGGGTGCATATGACGAGGCGACGACGGCCGCTGCTCGACACGAAATCAACAAACCGCTCGAACCCGACAATGGGCTTCATGCTGCCGACAACACGCGCCCTGTCCCTCTCCCGTTCACAGGTCAAATCGACGGGTTGTGGCCGCTAACCGCCACCGCGGCCGGAGCGACGGCAAAGATGGATACCTCGCAGCAGACGCCTACGCAGGTCAACGAGGACCGAGACTACCACATCTTCTACGGACCCTTGCCCTCGAGCCCTGCCAACAAGTCGACACAGCACAACACCGATGACGAGCCGCGGACCCTTAAGGAGGGCGACACGGGCGCCGTCAACTTTGGAAACCTCAGCGATCTTGCCCGCCCTTCGTCCCAGGTTTCCGAGGACGGCGGCTTCGATACTACGAGGGGTGGCTGGCGCGCCCACCAGCGTACCTCTCAGCTGCAATCTAACCCAGCACAAACCCCGTACAGGCCTCATGGCCTGCCTCCCGAGACGCCCGCGCTGCCCAAGAACCCCTTTGCCAAATCTGGCGTCTCGGCTCCGCTCGCGGGCAGCCAGCTCTTTGGTCAGACGCAGCAGCCGTCGTCGGCGGCCAAGATCAGTCCGACGTCGTCACGACCCTCGCCGAATGTTCTTCTCAACTCGATATCGCCCAATATCATGGAGACGTCGCCCCTCAAGAATCGCGCCAACGTGTCGTCACCAACCGATATTCGAACGTCGAGCCCGCAGCGACTAAACGAAGTTCCAGGGACCTTGGTTAAGGACAAGGCGGGACACGTCGCGTGCCAAGATAGCCCGGCGGGCGATACATCTTCCAAAGACGAGCTGATCCCCGAATCACCGACAGATCAAGCACTCAAGCAATTCGTTGGCCGCCAGCCGTTGGCACAGTATGAGCCGATGAAGCAGTCCCAAGAACGAAAGTCTAGTGGCGATGCTCAGATGGACCTGCATTCCGACAATGAATACGACGAGGCTTTCCAAAAGGCGGAGCGCCGCAAGCGGGCGGAAAGAAAACGAGCTCAAGCAGCCGAGGAGATGGAAAAAGTCAGCTTTGCGCGAGGCTCTCGGCGGGATTCTGCGGAGCAGCCGATTAAAAAGAAGCGGAGGATACACTCTGTTCAAAACGACACGGCAGACTCAACTGCCGTCATGGATAGACCCAAGAGCCAGGAACGCGCCGTTGCCCGAATCTCCCAAAAGACGTCTGCACCGGCACTCGAGACCCCTGCAGAATCAATCAAGGCGACTCCAGCGCAGAGCGCGGTATTACCCGAAACTGACCAGGACGAAGCGACTCCAGTCCAGAGGCGCATCACCCCTGAGCCGACGGAGGAGGAAATGATTCCAGCCACCAGCCCGGTGCCTTCGACCAAAGGCAGCCAAGACGGCGTGCCATGTCCTTCAGAACCGGAACTTCCGACCATGACAGGCGACGGTACCGACGAGCGAGAGCAAGTCGAGGTGACGAGGGAGACATCCTCATTTCCGCGGACTCGCCGACGGACGCAGAGAACATATGGCACTCGGACACGACAAGTCAGACGGAATCCGTTGCTAAGCTCTTCCACATCTGAGGTGCTTCCAGTCGAGCCTGGCGACAAGATGGAGCACGCCGCGTCGACCCTGGAAAGCCCTACTAGTACAACTTCAACCGCCAACCCCGGGGCCATGGCCCACGATGTTCCCGGTCAAGAAGCCGCAGGCGTGGAGGCTGAAGACCTGCAGCAAACGCGCCGCGAGACGCTTCCAAGCTCCAACATGGAGTCTTGTTGCGCGCCCGTCCCGGCTCGCTCGCGAGGACAAGACCCCGTCACACCACTCCAGACGCGCGCAAGCACTGGTGTCACGGCGCCGCCGTTGTCTAGCCTGACGACGCTGTCAGCATCTCCAGCGCCACTGGTCAATAAGACGCCGGGGACCCAGGAGTCTGGAGCGCTTCAAAGACCGGCGTCTCTCAACATGTCTCCGTCGACAAGTAGCAGAAAGCTACGGAGGCGCGCCACGCGGATTGCACCCAACTCGGAATCGCCGCTGCCGTTCTCAAGAGCGACGAGATTTGCAAGACGGTCCATGAAACTCGACCCAGATTCGATGGACGAGCTGCATCAGTCCCCACCGCCGTCTGCGCTGGAAAAGAACGCGTCCTACTTTAAATGCGGCAGATCGTTTCGTCAGAGCATCGGCTCTAGCCACCGAGGACGTCGCTTATTTGAGAACATGGCGTTTGCCTTGTCCTCTCAGTCAGACAAGCCGGAGCAGCAGCGGACCAAGCTGGAGTCGCAAATTGTCCAGGCCGGCGGCTCAATCCTCAAAGATGGCTTCCAGGAGCTGTTTGAGCCGTCGAGCATCATGTACTCGACCAGCACAGTACACGATGAGGGTGATGTGCTGAGGCTTCCAAGGGCAAGCTCGGGCTGCGGGTTCACGGCGCTTATTGCAGACGGGCACTCGCGGAAGCCCAAGTACATGCAAGCACTGGCACTCGGGCTGCCGTGCCTGAGCCAGCAATGGATCACGGCATGTCTCGGCAAGGGTGAGGTGGTGGACTGGGAGCCGTACTTGCTGTGCGCAGGCTCGTCGGCGGTGCTCGGCAACGCGATCCGGTCACGGACCCTGGTGCCGTACGTGGCAGCGGAGGCGAGGCTGGCTGAAGTGATTGAGCACAGACGGAAGCTGCTCGGGGGCCAGAGCATACTAGTGCTGTTTGATGCCAAGAAGGGGCGCAAGGAAACGAAGCAGCAGTACATGTTTCTCGTGCAAGCACTGGGGCCATGTGCCGTGTCCAGGACGTCGACGGCGCGGCAGGCGCGCGAGGTGCTACGCGAGCGCGAAAAGGCAGGGCGTCCGTTTGACTGGCTGTACATTGACAAGTCTTGCGGGAGCGCGGAATCGGTGCTGTCGGCGCCGACGCCGGCACGTGGCTCAGGGTCCAAGAAGCGGAGGAGGATGGGGGCCGAGGGGCCGAGGATGGGAGAGCTACGGGTGTTGACGGATGAGCTGGTGATTCAGAGCCTCATTCTCGGACGCATGGTGGAGGCGGGAGAGATGGAATTTTGAGGCGCAATGGTGTTTCAAGGCTGGTTACAGGGCTGGCTACGGGGCTGGTTGGTTGATGGGCGACTCGTAGGGCAGCGGCAGATGGGTGGGTGGATGGCTGGATGGATGGATGGTTGGGCGTTGGCAAAGCATGGCAAAAGGCTGCAAGGATGGGTTACAGTGAGGATGGCTTCTGGGATGCTCAAGGCATGGCGACTAGGATCCGGCCAGGCACAGACAGACAGACAGGCTTGCTCGAGAGGCGCATACCGGATACAGTAATTACGTACAGTACGTTACTTGTTTGCGACTCTACGGTAATTACAGCACGGGAGAGGTGGCGGCGTCGTCATGCATGTATGTCAGCCGGGCAGCACAGCATGACGTGACGTGGGTGACGCGGGTGACGCGGGTGACGCGGGTGACGCCAGGTGCATGCGCGTGGAGCTGCCGGCAAGTGGGCTCGGGCGCCGAGCGATGACGTTTGGGGGTGCGTGGACGCCAAGACGGAGCGGACGTGACCTGAAACGCTAGAAATGAGATTCTGCTGTCTGTAAGTGGTACGTACGGTACTTGGTAGCCTCTGCCAAGGCGGCCGGGCTTGGGCTTGGCATGCGAGCGACACATGAAGGATGAAGGGGGGTGCCAACACTCGAGGGGGGTGCCAACACGTGAGGAGGGGCGACACACGAGGAGGGGGATTCTTTGTCTCTCTCTGCTGTACCCGGAAAAGAGAAAGGGGCAGAAAGGAACAGGCCCGGCGTGGACAATGCAACCACCGGAGGCGGGGCGGGCCTGATTCCCCGCCGCCGTGGGCGCGCGGAAGGGCCGGAGCGGGTCGGCGGCAGGTCGACCAAGTCAAGCCGTTTCCACATTCCAACAGCCGTGTCTGCAAGCGAAAAAGTATACGCCGCTGCCGCCACGAGCCTTTTCTTTGCCTATTTCCATCCCTATTTCGACGGCATGTGGCATCGCATGGTTTACGGGCAACCGTCTCGTGGCAGCAATCCCGGCACCGGCTGCTCGGCACGGACGGGGCGGCCCCATATTTTCGTCGGCGGCGCCGGAGCCTTGGAAAGACCGAGCGGTACGTACCTGCCGCCCTAGGTAGGTACCCCCGGTGTGAGTGAGTGTGTGTGTGTGTGTGTGTGTGCGTGTGTGTGTCCGGCGGCGGCCTCTTGGCAGACGTAGCTTGGTGCGAGGACGAGGATAGGAGGACGAGGAGGGTCGCCCAAGCCAAGTGACAAAAAAGAAAAGAAACACGGGACAAAACTTGATTGCGGGCGTGGAGGGGGGGGGCAATGTTTTGTTTCCTGCTATTTCCCTCCCTTCCCTTACCCCGTCGGTATGTGCTGTCTGGCTCCGCTGTCTTGCCTTGGGGGTTTTTTTCTCCCCCGTTGCGACTCGAGCCGAGAGTTTTCGCGGATAAACTGTGCTCTGGCCGGACACTGGTCGGCAGAAACAAGTCGTCTCGTCGGCGTGGTAGCTGTGTCACCTGGTTTGTACAAACGTATAGAATATAACTACACGCTGGATAATCGAGCAGCCAAAACACCCCCTCGCGTATAAGTCTTGAACCCAACGCCGCCCGTCGACCCTCCACAAGCACCCGGACAAAGAATTCTTGCCCCCGCGGACTTTATCCTCGTCCCCTTGGCCCGGCCACGGATCCTTGCCCGCGGTGGGTGGAGAACAAGATGCCAAGATGCCGGTGTCCGGGTGAGGCTCCCCACATGCCTCGGCGTGCCGCCATCCATCCCTGCACTTACACCGCGCGCTGTCTCGGCTGCCGACGCCACAAACGTCGGGCCTTGCTCTTGTGTGCGTGTGCTCGAGCGCCCGGCGCGCATGCCAAGCTGATCCAGCTCGTTGGGTCTGATCAACGGCCCGTCACACCTACATGCCTTGCTCTCTTTACCCACTGTAGAACCGTCCGGACTCAAGCTTGGACGACTGGAGCTCTCCGCCCTTTCTCTCTTCCCGCTCCTCCCCCCCCCCCCTCCTCCTCTCCTCTTCGTCACTTCCCGGGGCCTCTTCTCGAGACATTGTCCTATATCAGGCGTCATCCCCCATGAGCCGTTCGACTTAGTCCCGTCCTCCCCCTTTGGTGAAGAGCAGCTTGCGCCCATTCCACGTGCTCCCTCCCCACGCGCACGACTCTCCTCCTCCTCCCTGACCTTGTCTCCGAACCGACCCCGACTCCGGCAACCTCTACCCACCCGTCCGTCCGTCAGGCAGCCCTCTAGACGCTTCGAGTCAGTGCTGCTGGCACCGTCCACTTCCTGCCCGGCATGGCCGTCGGCGCCTTCGCCGAGCCGCTCGTCGTCGTCGTGCTCCTCTTTGGCGGCGCCTGGGTCAACCGCAACAAGGACTACGACCTGTGCGTCTCGGCATATGTCGCCGACAAGACGCACAAGAGGAGCGATGAGCTTCTAGGCGGCGGCGACAGCAACAGACGCGACTCGCGCGAGAGCCAGGCCAGCTGGAGCGGCAGCTCGACGCCGACGCTCGCCCCTCACGAGGTGCCGACGCTGCGCCGCCGCAGGATCCGCTTCTTTGGCCGCGAGCGCTTCGTGACGACGCCCAACACGCTCGTCTTCCAGGACCGGTTTCTGAGCCGGGTGCTGGAAAAGTTTCCCTTTCTCGCCGAGGCCTGGTATTGGGCCCTGGTGTACTGGGTGAGTAAACACCACTCGTTTCCTTGGCTGTGCCTCCTGAGCCTCCTGGGCCTCGAATCGATGGCCTGACCCGTGGAATGCTGACGTCGAGGCTGTTTTCCGTCCATCAGATCTATCAACTCGGGCGAGCCTTTACCGCCCTGTCCCTGGTCGAGGGCACCGTCCACGTCGCCCGCCAGCACGCGCTGCAGCTCATCCACCTGGAGCAGCGGCTCAACATCTTTTACGAGGTGCCCGTGCAACGGTGGTTCCTGGCGCGACCGGACCTGATGCACTGGATCAACCGCGTCTACTCCTTCATCCACATCCCCGGCACCATCTTCTTCCTCGTCGCCCTCTACTACCTGACGACGACGGGCACGCGCCGCGCCGGCGCCGACAAGGTGGCCGCGGGGCCGGGGCTGTACGAGGCGCGCCGCCGCACCATGGCCATGTGCAACCTCGTCGCCTTTGTCGTCTTCACCCTGTGGCCGTGCATGCCGCCGCGGCTGCTGAGCGACCCGGACTACCAGGGGGATGATGCGGCCGAGGCCAAGAGCTATGGCTTTGTCGACACGGTCCACGGCAAGGACGGCGAGAGCAGTGTGTGGACGACGAATAGATTCTGCAATCAGTACGGTACGTGACCTCATTTGCTCGGGGTCGGGATGCCGAGACACGTCCACTCGAAGGCCTCGAGATAAGATGAAGGAGGAAAAAGAAAGGAATGCTGACAGCCTCGCAGCCGCCATGCCGTCGCTGCACTTTGGCTACTCGCTGCTCATTGGCCTGACGGTGGCAACGCTGCCGATATCCGGCCTGCGCGCCACGTCGTGGAAGCGCATGGGCATCGTCATGCTCGGCATGTCGTATCCGGCCCTGATCCTGACGGCCATTGTCGCGACGGCCAATCACTTCATCCTCGACGCCGTGGCGGGCGCCGTCGTGTGCGGCATCGCCTGGCACTCCAACGGCCTGCTGCTGAACCTGTGTGTCGTCGAGGACTACTTTCTGTGGCTGGTGCGCATCCACAGGCCCGTCAACCACGCGGACCCGGACACGGCCGTCGAGCCGGGGCTGCATGCCGGTCTGTTGCTTCACGAGAGCGTGTGATGATGGTGTTGATGTTTGGTCGGGGCTGGCGAGCTTGTCCAGGAAGAAGGCAAGGGGTACAAGGACTTGGCCATGCAGAATTGACGGCTGCAGGCACATGCATATATGCACGTGTGTGCGAGTTATTTATCATCCCATCGGCGCGGTTGCTGGAGTTTGATCCAGTTGTTGAAGCACTCCTTGGGTGTCGTGGTCGTGGGCGGACGCATCGCGAGGGATTGCATAATGAGGGTATTGGATTTAACCGATTCTCGTGACAGCGGCGGAGGCACAAAGTGCACAGTACTTGTCAAGCTGGTGAAATAATACCGCTACACCACGCAAAATAGGGGCACCCCACTGGAGGTGTTATTATTAACGCGTATTATAAGTCCCTTCTCTGCTCTGACAGTAATTACTGTAATAGTCGTCGGATGATGACGCCAGCATCTGACGCGCGGTGGCTCGATGCAGCCCGTACCGCTACTCGACCCCGGTGACAAACCGCAGGGCTCTCGGCGGTACAGATACACTGCCGGCCTTGCCCCTCCCCCAGAGCGCGTGGCGGGGCATCGTCGTCATGCTGCGGCGCCATCTCTCCGGCTCAGGCTCCCTCTGCACAGGCGCCATCACCCAGAGACCCGCCCAGCAAAGCAGCCCGAACCTCTGGATATACCCTCTGCCCGAAAGCTCATCACCCCCCGAAATCATCGTCCAACCATCTCCGCGGCGGCAGACCAGACAAACCGAAAGGCGTCATCCCCACCCCCGGTCGACCCGGCGCCCCCTCGTGTTCCTCGCCACCCGCCTCACAAGGCACGGGCAATGGCCTCGGGCTCTGCGTCCCGCGACTCTCCCGCGCGGCCTGCGTCGCCGTCGGCCAGCTTCTACGCCATGAGCGACGACGAAGAGGGCGGCTACAACACAATCACCCACGCAGAGTCGGGCAGGGGCGTCAAACTCCTCTTTTCCAAGAGCAAGGTGCGCATGCGCTCAGCGCTCACGGTAGCCCAGAGGCTAACACAGTGCTCGCAGGTCTATGTCCACCCGACCCCGTCCGCCAAAGACAACATCCCCGGCTACGTCGCCCTCTTGCAGCAGAAGCCCCCCAAGACCGGTCGCCCGACGTCGTCGTCCTCGCACGACTCCCACCAGTCGCCCGCCTCGTCGGACCTGCTCCTTGCCTGGATCCCCGAGTCGGCCCTGGGGGACTCGGCCGGCATCTACGTCAAGGTCGACCTCTGCGACGGGGACTCGCCCCCGAAGCAGTCCTACCTCGTCCCTCCCCCACCCACCGTCACCACCCACAGCGGCTCCGTCGGCGGCTATGCCTTTGCCATCCCCGTCAGCGCCGTCTACTCGCTCCTCGTGCGCCCTCCGAGCCTGGGCTGGTGGTATGGCTCCGTCATCATCAACTCGAGGGCCGGCGACTGCTTCCCCGCCCTCTTCTTCCACGACAACGAGTGCCAGAGCACCATCTTGCAGAAGAAGAAACTGACCCACGACACCTTTGACCCCTTTGGAGAGGCTGGCCAGATGTTCTGGGGCGCCGACGAGGTCTTGCGCTGGCTGCGTCGCTACGTAAAGATTGAGAGATCCGCCGCCGAGCCCAACATCTACCTCGTCGAACCCAGCCACGAGGACCTCGAGTCGTTTGGCGGTGCCAAGCCCGCGACCGCCCGCACAGGCCAACCCGGGGCGTCAGGAAGTCGGGATGCCGAAATGGACCCCTTTGTCAAGTTGATCAAGGAGACTGGCTGGAATATCTTGAATCAGTTCAGCAAGGTCACCACCTTGACTAGGAGGGCCGCCCAGGATCTTGCCGAAAACTCCAACATGCCGCCGCAGGTCAAGCGACTGCTGCGAAATCCCGAGGTCCAGACGCTGCAGGACGAATTCGACAGTGCTCGCATCTACCTCGCGCGATGGGCTATGGGCATCGCCGAGCAGAGCGAGAGAGACCGACGAGGCCGCATCTGGACCGTCCGCGACGTCGCCGAGCTCGAAGACACCGACGTTGGCGAGTTTGAGCTGCTTGAAGGCACCAGCTCCTTGTCGTTGGAGGAGAGACGCAAACCAGTGACGGCCGCCGAGTGGGCGACCTTCTTCGACTCGGAGACGGGCCGCCTGTCGCTGACGGTCGACGAGGTCAAGGAGCGCATCTTCCACGGCGGCCTGGACCCCGACGACGGTGTTCGCAAGGAGGCCTGGCTATTCCTGCTGGGCGTCTACGAGTGGTACGGCACCGCCGACGAGAGAAAGGCCCAGATCGCGTCCCTCCGAGACCAGTACTACCGGCTGAAGCTCACATGGTGGGAGCGGTTGGACGGCGAGGGCGGCGAGGGCGAGGCTGGCGAGTGGTGGCGCGAGCAAAAGGGCCGCATCGGTAAGTTGCTTGGCCACCGTCATCTGTGAGCTTGGCTGACCTGTCTGGATGTGCAGAAAAGGACGTGCACCGGACGGACCGCAACGTGCCCATCTTTCAAGGCGAAGACACGCCGCACCCGGACCCCAACTCGCCCTTTGCCGATGTGGGGACCAACGTGCATCTGGAGCAGATGAAGGAGATGTTGCTCACGTACAACGAGCACAACAAGGACCTCGGCTACGTCCAGGGCATGTCGGATCTGCTGGCGCCCATCTACGCCGTCATCCAGGACGACGCCATTGCCTTCTGGGGCTTTGAGCGCTTCATGGACCGCATGGAGCGCAACTTTCTGCGCGACCAGTCGGGCATGCGGGCGCAGCTGCTCGCGCTCGACCAGCTCGTCAACTTTATGGACCCCAAGCTGTGGAACCACCTGCAGCGCGCCGACAGCACAAACTTCTTCTTCTTCTTCCGCATGATTCTCGTCTGGTACAAGCGCGAATTTGCCTGGCTCGACGTGCTGCGCCTGTGGGAGGGCCTGTGGACCGACTACCTCAGCGCCGAGTTCCACCTGTTTGTCGCGCTGGCCATTTTGCAGAAGCACCGCGACGTCATCATGGAGCACCTCAAGGCGTTCGACGAGGTACTCAAGTACGGTGAGTCTTGGTCCAATCCGTCCTTTCACTTTTATAGAAGGCGTTCAGGCGTGGCGTGGGTAGGTGAGCTTGATCAACTAACACCATCCATGGCAGTCAACGAGCTTTCCAACACCATCGACCTTGAATCGACCCTGATTCGCGCCGAGGCCCTGTTCCGCAAGTTCCAGCGCCTCGTCGAGGCCATTGACAAGAAGCAAAACTTTCCTGCACCCCGGCCCGCAGACCCAGCTAGCCCGGGAAGCTCTTCGCTGCCTGCGCCTGCTCCGACATCCGATACAGCGCCCGGCACAACGCCCGGCGGCAGCAATAAGGCGGTGGGCGGCGGTCATGGTGGCGCCAAGGGCAAGGCGGCTGAGACGCCGCAGCAAAAAATCATCACGCCGGAGCTGCGCAAGCTGCTGAGCAGGAAGTTCGAGGTGCTACCGCGTAAGACGGTGGCGCAAAATGGCGATGGGATGCCGGCCTCGTGATCCTGGATGACGGCGTGAAGAGTGGCGCTGGACAGGTGACGAAGAGGTGAGAGGGATAAGGGTAGCTTGCGGTTGGTTGTGGGTTTACCCGCAATGGGAGTGTTCCTCTCGTGTACAACATGGATTGCTTGCGCTGGGTGTTTTGTCTGTAGCTTTTAGTTACCCCTAGGGCCTTGGATGAGGGATGGAGGAGGAGGGCTTGAAGAGGGAGGATGTAACAAGGAAAAGCCCTAAGGCAGGCAACGATGACGACGGAGATGCTTGTAACTGCCTGGTGATGCGATGAACAGCGTGAAAGAGCTTCTGCTGCCTTCATTACTGCAATTATTTGCCGTGGGCCGCGGCGTTCTGTAAACGAACTTCGCGTCACGCTTGGGAGATGGACGAGGATCTGAGCGCTTGTCCGGCATGACGGACCATTTCCCCATTGACGTGGTATAATGTATTTCACCTACCTCCCCTTGTCTCTTCTCTATTTAATCACACATGGGATCCGATCCAGTCGACGCCCAAAACGCCCAGCCACCCAAAGAGACCACACACGCAACCATTCACTCAAACGCCCTCTCTCAGAGCAGAGGGACAAAAGCATCGTAAACTGCAGCTGACTGCGTTGTCCGTTCCGCACATGATCTTGCCCCTTGGCGCCCCTTCTTCGTTCGGCATTATCTGTATCCTCTCGCACCGCCCGGCGGCAGGCCTTGTCTCCGCGGGCCGGCGGGTAGTCCCTGGCGAGCCCCCGGCCCCGGCCCCGGAGCCCCTCCTCCTCCCCATCGTCCCGAGCCCGGACCCGGACCGCCGCCGTTGTAATCGTCGCCGCCGCCGCCGGACCAGGGAGAGTTGGCAGCCGGCGGGGGAGGCTGGTAGGGACCCGGGCCGGCCTGGGCGGGGCTCGATGTGCGCGACGAGGGCCCGCCGCGGAGACGCTGGCGCAGGCGGTCCTGGGCCGAGCCGCCAGGCCCGGGCTGCGGGGTGGCCGGGGACGGACCGGCGTTCTGGTAGCTGCCGGCGCGCTGGCTGGGCAAGGGCCTGGCCATGACATCGTCGCGCCCGCCGCGAGACTGCGGGGCGCGAGAGCCAGCCCTCAGGCTCTGCGGCTGCAGATTCTGCTGCTGCTGGGCGGGACCGCTATCCCACAGGCTGCTCAGACCCCCGGGCTGCTGCTGCGGCATCTGCTGCTGCGAGGCGAGCCCGGCGCCGCCGTAGCGCGAGCCGACCTGCGACTGCTGGGCGTAGAGAGGCTGGGCGACGGGGGCGACGGGGGCCTTGGGGTCCGGGGGCAGCCAGGGCGGGAGGGGGCGGCCCTTGTCTGTGTAGTAGTTGCGGAGGACGCGGCAGACGTGGGTGTCGTCGTCGGTGTCGCCGTCGGCCTCGGAGGGGAGGAGGGTTGCGCGGAGAGAGGAGATTTGCGACGATGTCTTTGTGAGGAGGCTGGAGTACCACGACGCCATGGTGACTGTGGTTGTATTGAACTTGTTCGTCTTTTCTGTTGGGTCGCCGGGTCGGGGTTTTGTGGGCGTGACAAAGGGAAAGGGAGACGGGGAGAGGTTTCGTTTCGAGGCGATTCGGGATTGGCCGACTGGTGATCAGGCTCTCTTTCTGTTTCCTCCGCCTCTTCGTACTCTGTGCTGCTCGTGGCCGGCAGCGTCTCGTCTCTCTGCGTCAGCCTCGTCACGCCCCCTCGCAAGACCAGCGGCCGGGATTCGGGGCTGACGGGGATGCGGCTGCGTCTGTCCTCGCGTGGGGGGGGAGATGAGAGCACGCGGACGACGAGCAGGGGTTGATGGAGGAGGCGCGGTCGAGGGAGCCGTCGCAATTGGGACACGCAATGCGGGAGGGGGAGAGGGCGTGGGCGTGTTGCGGCGGGCCGGGCGAGGGGAGGGAGAAGCAGGAAGAGGCAGAAGCGGTCGACGGTCGGCCTTTGTTGGGTTCGTCAATGACGTGGAGCCAGCTTGCGGCGGTGGTGCGGTGGACAGGAAGCCCCCCAGAAGTGGGTGGGGGAGGGGGGGTCACTACTGGTTTGACTCGCGCGGGGCACCGAGGCCGGGGCACCGTGGCCTGGTGGTGGTTGCAATTGATTGATAAGGAGGGATATGGAGATGGAGTTTGAGTTGGAACTGCACTTCATTCTTCCTTGGCTGTATTTGGCGCATTTATCGGGCGAAAGGGTTTATTGATTTCCGCCCCGGCTGCGGAGGCAACCCTCGAGCCTCGATTCACTGTATTTACTAACAGGGTAATTAATTTCGGGATGTACGGAGAGAGTTTGGCCCTGCTACAGAATTATGTATATGGCCTGTGCGCGCTTAAAGGTTAGTACCGGTAGTAATTATCTTTCGCTTTCAGTCCGGCACAGAGCATGCTCTCGCGCCGAACTCAGAGGAGCTCAATTGGTACGTAGCTAGAGGTACTAGGTAATACCTTCGGCAACTTGACCTTTATGTAAGCTACCTAGCACGTCGCCACCTTTGGGTGCGCCCGTTAGCCAGAGCCGTGCGCTGAATAGTCAAGGCGTAGATGCAATGCCAGGTCGTAATCCTGTCCACAGCTCGTATAGTCAGATGAGAGCGAACCTGGTTGAGGACGCGCCTGGACCAAGACGAAGCTGTTGAACCGGGGCAACGGCGGGAATACAGGAGTCGAGGGTTGAGGACTTTGACGCCGTGGCTGTTGGTCACAAAGCAGGGGGAGCCGACTTTATTCCCTTTGTTGACATGGGACGTGATTGGTCGTCCAGCGCTTCCTGAGACGTGCGGGTTGATGTCTCGATAAAATGCCCCCATGATGAAGCTAACGGGGCTGCTGTTTGTTTGCAGTCTAGCTAGGCCGTCACCGTCATCATGAGGCCCATGACTCAGCTCCCCCACGCTCTTGTCCCGTCGTCACGCCTCCTCCTCGACGTCTCCATCATCATTTCCTCCCCAGCAGGCGCTGCAGAAACGTCGGCTTCCCGCCGTGAGGCGCCTGATCAACAGGCGGCGGCCTGACCTCGAGGCCGCGCACCCTCCACAGCAACCCGAGCAGGCTGGCCACGACCAGCAGCTCCGTTTCGTCGCCGTCGTCTTCTGGCACGAGCACGACGCCCTCGCTGCTGCGCATGGACAAGGACGCGCCCTGGCGAATGTGGTGGTAGATTGCCCTGATGGTCTTGGGCTCTGAGCATGGTTCCTCTTCGCCGCGTGTCTCCACCAGGGTGTATCGCAGCGGGCCGTCTTGACGCGGGTCAATCTGCCACTGCAAGCGCCTGGCGCCCCCGTGAGGCTTCAGGGTGAACAAGGGGTGGCGGGTAGTTCCGGCGCTCGACGTGGTGGGGAACGAGGCCGTGACATCAATGGCGTGGGTGGCCGTCAACTGGAAATCGGCAGTCGAGCTTGGAAGAGAGCTTTGAGCCGGCTCGATGGGTCAGCGTCCGAGGGTCCATGCTTGCTCCCTCATGGCCTCTCACATGGTGGCGCTCAAGCCTCGTTCGCCCGCCCCCCGGCACCTCCGCAGCGTCGCCGACACGTGGCCATGATCGCCAAGCGTGGCATCCACGACATAGCGTGCCTGGCCATGGTCTGCGTCGACGACGGGCCTTTCCATGGTGCCCAGCCTCGTCATGAACAGCTGGCTCCCCATGGGGGCATCGCCGATGACGTCGCTGCCGTCCATTCGGGCGTGACGGATGGCATGCTTGTACTCGGCGCTCACGTCGGCCCCGACTGCGAGGTGAAGGTCGGAGCTGCCGTGCGGGGGGATGTACAGGACGCGCGACAGGTGGGCCGGCGTGGCCGAGGGCTTTGGAGCGAGGCCACGGCCAAGCGCGCCTCGTTGCTGCTGCAGGGCCGAAGTCAAGGTCTCGTAGCCTTGGACGCCCGCAGATGCCGACATGGTGAATCAAGTTTGTGCGTGGTTGGGACAAAGCCGCCGAGCGGCCACCTTATACAGTACAGTCGACGACGTCGAGGCAGACGCCCGCCAAGCGAGGCCAAGCAAGGACTTTTGCACCACGATGCCATCTGACCAACCGACGACAGAGCTTCTTTGGACATCCCAAGAGCCGACAACAGCCCATTTTTCGGTCGCCGTTGGATGTGGAGCGTCCGGTACGTCCATGCTTACTATAAATACCTGGATCATAAAAGGGGCCCGCAAGACCAGCCGAGTTCGACGGGGTATTTAATTACTCCAGCTGTCTCCAGCTGTCAGTCCGCAAACGCCGAGGTCTAGCCCGGAGGCTACTAATTGGCCCGCACGCCATGCAAAGAAAAGAAACGCTTTTACCTGCTTGTAAAAAAAAAGGCATTTAATTACCGTTATACCGTTTGTTCTTTGTACCCGCCATTACTGTCGGGCTCCAGCGCCTCATCACAAGTTCATCGTCTTGCTCAATGCACGGATGGGGCCGAACGGGATTGGTCGGGATGAGGCAAGATCGTCCGGGCCGATGATGCTCGTATCCACCCATCGCTCTGCTCTCCTCCGCTCTCCGCCACTCTCCGCCGTGCCTCCATGATTCTATCGTGCGAGATGAAGAAACGACAGGCCGACGAAGCTTGCCGCCGGTACTTGATGTTGGCTGCCCGAGATCCACTGCTTTTTCTCGCCGTACTTTTTCCTTCCACCCGTGTACATACATGCATACAGTAGTACCTACAGTAATTACCTGGCCTACCTTGCCTTGCCTTGCCTGCTGTTCTTGGCTCTCCTCCCTCTCGCCCTCTCCCCGTCCTCACCGATACCTTTGCTTTCCTCCTCCTGGCCTCCTCCTCCTCCTCTTGGCCTCCCTCTTCTCCCATTCCCCTCTGCCGTCCGCGGCGACAACCAGCAGCCGTCTTCCCCAATGCGAGGGCGCGCGCCATGACCCGCCGCCGAAGACGACAATGATCCAGGCCCGGCTCAAGCATCACCGCCTGTCGCTGCAGCGCCTCGTGCCCCTGCGCCTGCGCTACATCTTCCTGCCCGCCCTGCTGTGGTGCCTCATCGGAAGCCTCTTCTTCTGCTCGCGACACCCGCGCCTCGTCGCCCTCGTTGCCACGCACCGCCAGCTTTTCTTTGGCGCCGCCGTTGATGCCCCGCCCGTCCATCGCATGCCGCTCGCAGCCGCCCGCGACCCCTTGCCGCCTCGAATTGCCTGCTTCGGCCCCCGTGATAGGCTTCTCTCCGACAGCCCCGATGACGACCTGCATCACTCGGACCTGCGTGGCGTCGGTACGGCTACCCCCAATGCCACGCCATGTGTCGTGCCACGAACCTTGTTCCTGTGCTAACTCGCTATATCACCCAGAATATCCGCTACCCTTCCTCGGCTCCCAGCGCGAGCTTGGCATCGCCTCGACGTGGATGACGGCCGATGGCCGCTACGGTCCCTATGGCTTTGGCCAAGACTCCCCAAACTATCGTCGCTCAAAAGTCGACTGGCAAAGGCTCGACTGGGGCCTCCTGCAGGATAGCTGCATGTGGCGAAACGCTGCTCGATTTCCCCGCGTCGCCCCCTCGGTGCTCTTCAACAGGAGCCCCAGGTTCACGTGGAGGAACCAGACGTCCCTGTCAAGCCCGACCATGGCTTGGCACAACTTCAATGCCACGCGACGCACCGCCCTCGTCCTACGTGCCTATGCCAACTATGACTACAAGCCCGAGGACCTGTGGAACATCCGCTCTCTGGCCGTCGAGGCGGCCCTGCGCACCGGTGGTGAGTATGCCCTGGTGCTGCTCGTCCATGTTCAGGATCGCGAGCGCAATATTTTCCAGTCAAAGGCCAACTACGACGCTGCCTTTGATGCGGCCGCCATCCCGCCCGAGCTGCAGTCCGTCGCCGTTCTTTGGGACGACCACTTGCTGGAATCGTGGTATGCCGCCGTTGGGGAGCACAGGTGAGCACCCTCGCCGGCGCTCAACCTTCTGGCCGACTTGGGACTAACGCGACTTGCGCGACGCAGAACAATGTGGGCCGTGAACCAGCCTCTCCAGCTCTTTGCGCTGCACTACCCGGAGTTTGACCATTACTGGCAACTCGAGCTCGACCAACGATTTATGGGAGACGCCGGCGAGTACCTCGACGCCGTCTCGTCCTTTGCGCGAAATGAGCCCCGCAAGCAGGCGCTCGAGCGCGCGACATATGCCTTCAACGAAGATATATACGGCACATACCAGAACTTTACCGACCGCGTCAACGTGGCCAACAAAGGCATGTCGCGGGCTTGGGGCCCGGTCAAGATTCCGGATATCCAGCCGATTGGGCCGGAACCGCCAGTCGCTCTTCCCGACGACGACGACTTTGCTTGGGGCGTCGGCGAGGAGGCCGACGTGGTGGTGACGAGCTTTTGCGCCGATGTCATGCAGACGGGGTGGACCTTTCGGGGATACATCGAGGGCTTCAGACTCGGGGACCAGACGCCGCGCTGGTTCTGTCCGCCGGCCATTATGCGCGCCAGCAGGGCCCTTCTCCTCGCCGTGCACCAGGCGCAGCACGACAAGGGACTCAGCCTGCCGAGCGAAGCGGTGCTGCCGACGTGGGCGCTCTGGCACGGCCTCAAGCTGAGCTACCCGCCGCAGCCGGCGTACATGCGGCCGCACGAGGCGCACCTCGAGGACTTCGGGGACGACTGGACGCGCGACGCGGCGCACCGGCTCAACACGACGGTGACGCCCTGGTTCGGCAACGCCACCGAGGACTCGCCCGACGGGCTGTCGCACGGCGACCCGCAGCGCTATGCCGACCGCGGCCTCTCCTGGTGGTGGACGGCCGAGTACCCGCGCACAATCGTCGACGCCTGGCTGGCGGGCGACGCTGCAAACGGCAAGATGCCGGGCATGCTGGCCGTGCGCAACGGCGAGGTCTATGCCCCCAACATGGCGATGCACCCCGTCAAGTCCTAGGCGGCAGCGTTTGTTTTGATTTTTGTACTGTACATGCGATCCGATCACTGGTGACGGGACATAGGAGCGTGGCTTTTGTGTTTTGCATATATCCTGCCAATGGCGACGACGACGTCGTTGGAAATGGGCACGTCTCCGAGACAAGTAACGTCGCGACTGGCACACCGAGAAACAACGCGGAACATACAATAGGAGATTTGCCTCTTTTGAATACATACCTAAATAGTGCTTTCTGGCACGTGCCGGCAGGGGTACTGCTGAGCTTGCAAACTCTGCTGCATGTGCAGTAGGTAGACGGTGCAGTAGGTAGACGGCGCTTTATAGAGTAGTATTACTATTTGCCCAAGACTAAATCTCTATTCGGCCAAGAGTCTCTTAGAGTCCCCCCTTTTAACTGGCCGCGTTGCGCCTTAATCATCAAAGAAAAATCTTAATTATACGTCGCGCTCAATTCGCGCGGAGGATAAGCCTATATAGTAAGGGGCCCCTCCCTAAGGGGGACCCCTCCCCTATTGGCTCGGGCGCTCGAGTACGCTATTATTTCGTAGTCAGGGCTATCCAGAGAATATTTTGGGGCATTTACTATTAAGGAAAATATAAAAGATAGTATATATGAGATATTAGAGGGCGATATTATAGTACCCCGCCTTTTAGCTTGTATTGGCCGAATAGAGATTTGGTCTTGGGCAAATAGTAATACTCATAGTAATAATACTCGGTCTGACTACCTATAGTGTCAAGTCAAGACAGAGGGGAGGGGCATAGCCAAGTACAGACAAGGCAGGAACCTGGAAAACAGGGGCATTGCCCACCCCTATCTGAATTACGTAGTAGCAAGTACGTAGCGGTAACTATAGCCCAGCGTCTCGTTTCCGGCACACACTCGAGCTACCAACGAGACGGCCCTCGCTCCCCAAACTGCGCAAGCACCGTCACACCCCTTTCCCCTTACCACTCCAGCTCGTTCTTCAGCGTCAGCTTGGCGCGCTCGCGTTCGCCCTCGCCCTCGGCCTGCTTGGTGCGCTTGCTGGTCGCCTTGACGGCCTTGCCACGCTTGCGCTTGGCGCCGGCCTTCTCCGTCTCTTGCTCGCTGTCGGCCTCGTCTTCGTCCTCCTGGTCCTCGTCGCTCTCCAGCCAGTCCTGGAGCTCTTCGAGGTCCTCGTCACTCTCGTCCAGGTCGGACACGTACTCGACGACCTTTTCGGCGTCTTCCTCCTCTTCCTCCAGCTCTTCCTCGTCTTCTTCGTCGATGCCCTGGTCCATGTCCTCGTCTCTCATGCCCTCGCCCTCGCGCTCCATGGCGTTGAGCACCTTTTTCCAGATGGTCTCGCTCACGTTGAGGGGCTGGTCGCCGTAAGCGCCGCGGCGGAGCCTCTCGACAAGCTCCCGCTCAATGGTGCGCTCGAGCTTGGCGGCAGCCTCGGCCTTGCGCTCGCGGGCGCGCTCGCGGGTCTTGATCTTGGGCGCGAGCTTGGGCACGAGGCGCTCGCCCAGACGCTCCTCCTCGGCGGCGAGCCTGCGCATGCGGATCTGGACCTGGGTGAGGCGGGTGAGACGCTGCTTGCACTTGTGGACGAGGAACTTGGGCCAGTAGATGAGGCGCTCGTCAATCTGCTCGAGCGCCTGCGAGTAGTTGTTGGACAGCTTGATGCGCTCCCACATCTTGGAGGGCAGGTGGGCGCGCTCGACCGTCTTCATGTACAGGTACAGCGTCTGCTTGGTCGGGTGCTGGCGCACCGTGGCGTAGCGCGAGTTGGCCAGCGGGCACGACTGGCGGTTGCAGAGACCCGTGACGTTGTACTCATTGCGGCAGAAATTTTGCTGCTTTTCCGTTCTGATGGGGCGCGCGAGGTCGTCAGCACCCTGGCGGGGGGGAGAGCGAGGGGAGACGGGGGAAGATGGGCGGCCGCATACTTTAACTTGAAGGAGCAGAATTGCTGGTTGATGATTTGCCAGACAATCTCGTCCGAGGCCATTGTGGCGGCCTACGAATCGTCGACGATTCCAGTTGCACCAAAGAAGCCGGCGAGTGTCGTGATGGGGGACAGGTTTGGCGGGCAAGAATATGGCGGTGCTTCAATGGTCAAGCGAGTATCTCCGAACGCTGCACACTGCAATCAAAAGGACGCTTGCTTCCTGTTGCCGTCTGCGGAGAAGAGGGGGGACGAAACGTCCGGTCGAGATGCTTGGTTCAGCAGGCTTTTTTTTTTGCACGGCGGTTTCTTGTCCTCTCACCTTTTTTTTTGGCGCCCGTCTGATAGGCGGACAGCTTCCCGCCAGGACCTTCACCGCCCTCTCCACCTCTGCCCCACCAAGGCATCGGTGACGGAACAACGACGAGTCCGACAGCCCGCCCGTTTCCGGCAACGTAACAGACGGTCCCTTCCACGGTTTGTACATAGGTACAAGTTCCCCTCCAGAGCCGGCCAAGGAGCTCTCTAGTCGCAAGCCTCCAGCCTTGCGCCTCGCGAGCCGCGGCCACCACCCGACGACAACCAACCAACGACGGCGCCCTCCCACTCTCCCTCTCGCCTCATCGACCTCCCCGCAACGTCCCGGGGCCCACCGCCTCCATCGAAACCACCCACCAGGCCTCTCTCCCCCCCGACATCTCTCCGGCCCCCCCGGAGGCCCAGACACGCGTCACGATGCCCGCGGCCGGCCTCAAGACCATCATCGCCCTGTCCTTTGTCCTCGCCGTCGGCTTCCTCCTCGTCATCCTCTCGTGCGCCCTCTTCAAGGTCTACTACCCGCTGCTCGTCGTCGCCACCTTTGTCGTCGCCCCGCTGCCCAACTGGATCTGCAGCCGCTGCGCCAACCCGGATGACTTTGTCGAGAGCTCGGGCGGCGCCGCCGTCCTCGACCTCGGCCGCTTCTTTACCGGCTTCTTTGTCGTCATGGGCATTGGTGCGTGCCCCTGCTCTTGTCCTGCAGTTTGATATAGCCGCTCGCTCGCTCTCTACCTCCTCCCTGCCTCCATACAAACGGCTGTTCCATCTCGACTCTTGCTTTCTTGGAGTTATCTATAGCTTCGTAAATACCTCTCAAGCCGTATTCATAACTGACACCCTTCAACCCAGCGCTGCCCGTCGTCCTCGCCCATTCCGACCTCATCAGGGTCGAGGCCATGATCATGTCCATAGTCGGCGGCCTGTTGATCTACGGGACCATCATCAGCTTCAGCATGTTTTTTCACGAGGAGCAAGAGTTTTGAAGCGCCGCCGCCCTTTGCGCAACGATTTCATACCCTTTTTCCGGATCGAAAACATCGTAATCGCGGGGAGAAGGAGAGGGAGGCTCCGGGAGAGGCGGACGGACAAAGGGAGGGCCAGTGTGTTTTGCTGCGGTGTATGGGCATTCGAGCGGCATTGTACGGCTTTCTATCTTGTAGTTTTGTCGTCAAATTGGTATTCATTCATTGAGTGAAACAGCATAAACTAGCGATCTAGTCCTCATGGGTGCTATCTTCAAATGAGTGGATGGTTTGGACCGCCTTCACTTGTGCCATCTTCCCGTCCACCATTCAAGTGCTGAAGGTTTTGCCTTTACCCGCCCCCAATAAACACACTCCGAACCGCCACCCGGCCGCTCCTCAAGCCACGTCCCTCAGCACGCCCAGCGGCCCACACAGCTTGGTGAACATCTCGTCGCGCTCGCCCTCGGGCGTGCTCAGCGTCGTCACGGCGCCGCCGGCCCCGATACGCCAGACCTCGCCGCCGGGCCCCGTCTCGTCGTCCCACCGGAACAGCGTGCGGATCGTGACGCTCCAGTCGCCGCGGCCCTGCGCGTCGAGGTAGCCGATGACGCCCGAGTAGACGCCGCGCTCCGCCGTCTCCAGCCCCGCCAGCAGCTCGCAGCTGCGCTTCTTGGGCGCCCCCGTCATGCTGCCCGGTGGCAGCGCAGACGCCAGCACGTGCATGCCCGTCAGGGGCGCGAGGCCGTCCCGCTCGCCGCTGCCGGCCCCCATCTTCCCCGCCGGCAGCCGGCCCTCGACGGCGGTGACCATCTGGAAGACGCTGGCGTATTCCTCGACGCGCAGCAGGTCCGGCACCGTGACGCTGCCGGCTCCGCACACGCCGTGCAGGTCGTGGCGCACCAGGTCGACAATCATCAGGTTCTCTGCCTCCTCCTTGGGCACGTGCAGGATCTTCTCCGCCTCGGCCAGCGTCGATACCGCCTCCGACTTGCGCACCGTGCCCTTCATCGGCCGCATCGAGCACAGCCCCTGCCCGTCGTGCTTGAGGAAGCGCTCCGGCGAGCTGCTGATGAGCGTCGCGCCCCCCATGCGGATGAAGCAGCCAAAAGGCGCGGGCTGTCTGCGCCGGAGCGTGCGGTACAGATCCCACGGCGTCCCGTGGCCCGAGGCTTCCTCCGGCGACGAGTCTGCTTGCGTGCCGGGCTGAGACGGCGGAGCGGCGTCGATGTCGCCGTTGACGGACCGCAGTCGCAGGTAGTCTGGGACATCGTTGCCCGGCAGCCGGGTCATGGTCGTCTGGGCCGTGAGACACAGCTCGTACGACTCGCCGTCCCTGATGGCGTCCTGGCATCGGCTCACGTCCCGCTCGTACACGTCCGGGTCGGGGACGGCAAAGCGCAAGCGGCCACTGTTCTTTCGAACGTCAACCAGCAACGCTTCGTTGGACCGCACCGGCATGGCGATGCTGCCGCCACTGCTGCTGCTCCTGCTGCTAGATCCGCCACGCCTCCACATGTAAGAGTTTTGAAGAATCTCCGCCACGCCGTCGATCCAGGAAGCGTCCGAGTCGGCCGTAGTCAGGGCCTGGACGTAGGCTACGCCGGCCTTGTGATCGAGCACGATGCTCTTGGAGATCCAGGCCATGCAAATGTCGGGTCGCCGGTGTCCGCGGTCTTTGGAGACGAGTCCGGAGCTCAAGGTGCTGAGACCCATTTCGTAGGTGACAAAGCCCATCAGGCCGCCTTTGAAGGCACACGGCTGTGCCTCGTCCTCGGGCGTCGTCCTCGACCGCGAAAACTCGGAAAGGACGTGCCAGGGGCTCCAGGGGTCAAACGTGTCCTCGCCCAGATGGATCCGCTGGCACTCTTCCTGCCCTCGGTCCAGGGTCGCTGGCGCGCGCAGGGTCATGTAGTCGTCTCCGACGCGGTACTCAATGCGGAGGGCTTGATCCACGTCGAGGGCAATAATGGAATTTCTTGCCAACGGGTCGCCGTTGATGGTGCTCGATGAGTCCAATATGATTGTGTCCGAGGCGCCGAGTCCGAGAAGCTCGGCGACGTCGGCAGTGTCGACGCCGCCGGGCAGCTTCATCGTCTTGCACGCGTAACCGGGCCGGATGCCCGACCTCGCCAGGCCCAACTGCATGTCCCTCCACCACCGGTAGGCCGAGAGGTGGTCCCCCGCGTTGAGGCCGGGGAGCGAGCGGTTCGAGGGGTCGAGGCTGTCAACGCATTCGACCGAGTAGTCGACTTGGCGGTCGACGGCCTCGTTCCACTTGAGGGCCTGGCGGAACCAGTTCCTGATGACGTGGTGCGCTGCCGGCTCGGTGCAGACGGATTCGGGGTGGTACTGGACGCCCCAGAGCGGGCGGCTCGCGTGCCGCACGGCCATGAGGATGCGCTCGTCGCTTTCGGCCTCGTCGTCGCTCCGTTCAAGGGCCCATGCTAGAGGCAGGAGGTCCGGGGCGACGGCAGGAGAGGACCAGCGAGCGGCATGCCAGTCACTATCGGGTATGGCGTCCTGGCCGACGTCTGCGCAGAGGCTATGGTAGAGCGTGGCCCTGAAGGGCGGAACCCCGTCAAAGATGTCGGCGGGCGGCCCACGCACATGGTCGATGTCGCGCACCATGCCGTGCAGGCCCCTCCTCAGCCTGCGTATGCCGCCGCCAAAGTGCTCGACCAGGCTCTGGAAGCCGAGGCAGATGCCCAGGACCGGGACGGCGCGGGCGGGCGGCAAGCTCCAGAGCAGCTTGAAGGCGCCGACGTCGGCATCGCGCAGGGCAGAGCCGGGTCCGGGCCCGCAGACGACGGCGTCGAAGCCCGGCAGGCGGTCGAGCAGGTCGCGTGGCGTCCAGTCGGGGCTGGGGTCCGAGTCGAGGGTGCGCAGGTCCATGTGCAGGACGTGCACCTGGACGTGGCTGCCGAGCGCATCCTTGAGCAGCGACACGACGTTGTTGGTGAAGGAGTCGTAGGCGTCGAGGAAGAGGATCCGCCGCTCTGCCTGCAGATGCACAGGCGGCTCGGCGCCGTTGGTCCGATGCACCGCCATCTGCTCCTTGGCCGTCTACAGCTGGCTGCCGGCCTGCGTGAAGGAAGGAAGGAAGTGAAGGAAGCAAGGAATTGATGAAGGAATGGGCCAACAAGCAGTCTGCTTCCCCAATTGCCCTTTTCTCTTCCCTCGCCAGCTGGGGAGACCGTCCAGAGGCGAGGAATGCGGAAAGACGGCAGTGGCGGATGCAGGGCCGCGAACAGCCGGCGCCTCCCCTTGCAAGCCCCATCGTGCACCGTCGCCCCTAAGGTAAGGGTAAGTTACGACTAAGTTAGTCTGGCACGCACAAGCCTGGAGCTATAACTTAACTATCCCTCTTGGAGACGCGACAAGCTTATTCCCCGGTAATTGCGGTTTACTCAGGTTAATTACACACAATTCGCAGGGCCGCATGCACTGCACCCACCCTCTTGACAATTGTGGCTCATGCTCCCTTACACCGTATGTACAGTACACATATATATCGACCCCTTGCCAACCAAGACATTGCTTGCATTGCCCGAATCCAAGGGCCTCTGCCTCGAGACATGCCTTCACCTGCCGCCTCCTCCGCCTGTTCCTCCTCGTCGTCAGCGTCGTCAGCGTCGTCACCATTGGCTCATCCATTCAAGACCGTCACTGCCTAGTCTCGATCCTTGACCGTCAGCGTCCACGGCCTCCTCGAGTGCCACATGCGCCGCTGCCTGACCCCCAACGCCGCATCCATCATCCGCTGAGTGTCTGACCGCTGCCGCGCCGCCCCGTCCTTGGACCCCTCTGCGAATGTCTGCACCTCCTCCACCGAGGCCGTCAGCTCAAACTCGCCCCTGCACAGAGCCGTCACTCCCATGCTGAAGCTCGTGGCGCTGTTCCCCGGTAGCTCGGGCAGCAGCTGCTGCAGCGTCCCGTTCCACGCAAACTTGCGTGTGTGGTCCAGCGCCACGTTCATCGGCCGGTGGCAGAGGGCTGGGATCAGCCTGACAAGGGGGAATATCGACTTGCTCGTCCTGTTCCTGATGTCCACCCGCAACGCCATGAAGTCGTCCACGTAAGCCACCTTTCGAGCGCCACCGTCGGGCTCGCTCGGGTCCTCTACCCTTATGTTAATGTCCACCTCGTCCACCTTGATCGCCTCAATCATTCGAGACGTGAGCCGGATGTTGCGAAGCTCCACCGCGCCACTCCGCTTGGGCACCGACGTCGTCCGCCACGTTGCCTTGACGTTGTCCAAAATCTTCTCCCGGTACCAGAAAGCCTCTCGATTGGCCCGTTCCATTTCCGGCGAGATCTTACTGGTGCTCACGACGAACTGCCTGTTTCGGGACGGGTTCAAGCTCGGAATCGACTCGTGTGCTTCTTCCAGGTAGATCCTCCTGACGGGTATGGCAACGCGGCTTGTCTTGCCTGGAAGCACGTACTCGTCCACCACCAGACCGTCCTCGCCCTCTAGGCGGACGGCCATGTGGCTCGGCCAAGCGTTGCGCAGGTCCATGCATACAAGACAATATTCGTCTTCCTTTCCTCGAGTGCTCCCGCCCAGTCTCTCCCAGAGGGGCTGCGGGATCTTGCCGTGCATCGGCAGTGCGTCCACCCGCGTCAGCTCGACGCTGGCGTTGACCGTCACCGTAAGGTCCAGGCAGACTTGACGAGTGTAAAACTGCTCCGTCACCTCGTCGCGGGGAACCCCGAGATACGTGTAGTCGGCCTGGATCGTCGCGTGCGTCAGACCGGGTTTGCCCAGTATCTCAAACTCAAACGTCGCCTCTCCGCCAGGCGCAATGTTGCGGCCCTGATCGCTGCGTGGAAGTCGCAGTGCTTGTCTCCTGGTGAGAATCAGCTCGTACTCGTACAGCTCTGCCGGCGTGGCATCCCGCTTGCCGAGGGCTTCCTGCAACGGGGCCTGCGTCGAATCCTTGAACGAGAAAAGAATAAAGTCCACCGGAGTCGCCGACGTATTTTGTATTGTCACCGAAAACACCTGCCTCTCTCCTTCCAAGATCATAACTGAGGATTGCGGAAGAGTCGTCGACTTGACCACCACGAGCGGCTGTGCCTGGATCACGTTCAGGCTCAGCCTCTTGGGCGCAAAGGCTTCCTCTGTCGGCTTGGTCGTGTTGTCGCCGTCTTCCAGAGCAATCATGCCTTTGGCCTTGATCTTGTCTTGCATCGACGGCGTCCAAGCTTTCGTGAAGATGGGGAACCGTCTTTCCCGGCAACCACGGACCTTGACCATCGCGCCCGTGACGGTGATGGACCCGGCCTCCCGCGGCCGCCCTTTGAGTCGTATTATTTGGCTTCGATACGGACCCAGGAAAGCGCTTTCCGTCAAGGCTTCGAAATCCACCCCCTCGGTGCACAGGCGTATGCTCTCGATTTCCACCTCAATGTCGTACGTATTCTGCAGTGTAACCCGAAAGGTGGCCAGCTCACCAGCCACCAGGTTCTGCGCCGCCACCTCATCAGGTTCCTTCAGGAACGGGTTGTAGATGAACGGGTTGACGTCCTGCGAAGCCCGGCCAGCCGTGGCTCCGGGGAGGACGCTGCGGGCGTGGGGTATCGGGGTTCGTGTATTTGGGAGAGGCTCCAGCACGACGCTCCTAACGAGGAACTCATCCCAATACTCCGCCGTCAGGTGACCCATGCCTATCCTCTGGGCCAGGCTCGCCGTCCGGGAAACGTTGGTCGTCAAGCGGACCTGCTCGTCTCGGTGGATCATCGGCGCGGCATCCTCCCGTCGCGGGCCCGGTGCTATTCCCGACCCTCCGGTGCGCAGCAGGTCGCTGGAAAACTTGAGCACTCCGTTGAAGTCCGGCAGTGCCTCGGAAAAGTTGATGCAGGCCCGCAGAATATTGAGTTTGATGCTGGTGAAGCCGAAGAATCTCGTCGACGATTGGTCAAGTATCCTAGCAACGGCCGCCTCGTCAGAGTCATCAAGAGTCCCGGGTGAAACTCCGTCCTTCTTCTCGTGCGTCTCGAAGCCGACGATGCCGTACGACTTGCACAATAGCTCTAGAAATGCCTCGAGCCCATGTTCAATATCCCCCTCCCCGAGATCCAGCGCCACGCCGCCACTGTTCCCATCGCCGCCTGGTGCCAGTGATACCAGCCCTGCAGCAGGGTGGACGCCCGCTTCCGCCGCCCCCCGCGTTCGCGCTTCCACAAGGCCCCCGATGAGGACGGATACTAGCTCTCGAATAACCATGGCCTTCTTTCGATGATAGCCTAGCGAACCCAGCACAGACGCCATGCCGCTCAAGACCGACGCGCGATCAGCAGGAGTCAGCAGTTCCGCGGCGGATGAGGGGAAGGCCCTGAACAAAAAGTTGACAATGTGCTGCCTCGGGGGAGAGATATTTAACCGAGGTGACGTCGTCAGGCGTTCAGGGGTGTGTGTGCTGCAGACGATGATGTCCAGCGCCCGCTGATCCAGCCGTCCTCCGCAAAGATGCATCGCCGTGAGGATCTTGGAGAATCGAATGGTCGCTTCTGACAGTGGAAGCGGCGGTAGGTGTTCGGCCGAGATTCTCGAGTATAGACCGACAATTCTCTCCAGGAGCTCGGGTATTATATTTTGGAGATCTCGACGATACTTGGGCTCGGTCGAATCAGCAACCTCCGGATCTGATTTGAGCGCCGGCAGGCTGGCGGATCGCTCCCGAGAAGGCATGAGTATCGCCGGGACCTGAAATTCCAGCTTGGACCAGGCCAGAAGAAAGAGGTTCACGAGGATGAGCTCCAGAGCCTTGCCATGCCAGATGTGGTCGTTGACCGATCGCGCAGTGGCGGCGGCCTCGGCCAGTTCTTTGAGTGAGTCGCTCCACCGGCCAGCCTGGAGATACATGGAGCCAATGACGACCGAGGTCCGTCCTTTGCCTTTGAGCCGCCAGCGGTCGTTGGCGCCTCCCGGTCCGAAGCCCTGGACAGTTACGCGGTCGCGAGACTTGTCGGCGTCTGACCTGACGCTCTTGTGCTCGGGACTGGAGTGAACGCTGCCGGAGACGCTGTGCCCGTCGTCGGGGCTCATGGCAATGTTTGACAGACTGCTCTTGACTGGCGTCGAGGGCCGTGCCGGCATCGAGCTGCTTGAGCTGAGTGGGGGACGGGACGCCATAGGCGGCATCGATAACCGGCTATGGCGAGTGTTGTCCAAGCCGGCAGCGGAGCTCGGGCGCGAACTGTGGTGCGGGAGGGAGAACTGAGAGTTGCGCCTCGAAATCCCGTTTTCAAGCGCGCCGCCTGCCCCGAAAGCCCTGCCGTTGGCATAGACTGAGTTTCCAGGATGGCCGGGAGACTCGATGAGGGTCATGGCCTCGAAGGATCTCGCCAGCGTCGTCATTTCGGCCAGCAGCATCGACGAGATGTTGCACATGACGGTCTTCATTGTAGTTCGTTTGCAGTCCTCGACGGGCGGAACATCTATGATGCCCTCGGGCATCGGTATGCCAGTGTTTGTTGGAGGGACGTAGTCGAAGACGATGGCCTGGTGGACCAAGGCTTTGGGGTAGACATCGCGCACATCTTCGAGCTCCTGATACAGGGCCCTGATGTTCTTCTCCGTGATCGTCGTGGCCGCCCCGCTCGCAGAGTGTCTCTTGCTAAAGGAAGCATCCTGGAGCTCGGTGCCGTCTGCCACGGCGATGACGGCCAGGGGCTCCCGGTATAAGTCGAAGGGCGAGAGGGAGAGGTGGGACGGCGGAGGCACGTGGGTGATGAGGTCGTACAGCATCGCACCGTCTGGGTATGCCAATGGAGAGAACATGTCTGTTGCATAAAGGTCAGCTTGACAACTGGTAGCGTGGACTGAGGCCAAGCGGTCTCTCACTTCTGTTGGGACGGCCATCGGGGCTGATGTCTCGCAGTTGGACGACATGCTCGGCACGCAGCCTGTCGGCAAACGAGGCAAACTTGTCGGCTCTCAGCTTGCCGAGTGGCAGAAGTAGAGCCTTCACCCTCGCGGGAGCGATGGGCAGCAAAGGATCCAGGCTCATCCTAGCGGTTGCTGTATTCTCATCTTTGTCCAGCGCGTCGACAGTTTGCTCAGGGCATGTCCATCGGTCGGCCTCTCCTTGGCTGATTACTTTGTCCGCGGGAAGTGATGATGGCGCATGCTCGCTTCCGGGCTGCTGTTGGAGCTCGACCACTGGGGAAAGGGAAGCTTGCAGTGTTATTGCTGGGCTTTGTGTCTCAGCAAGATGCAGCAGCCACAGCCTGACAGCTTGATGGATGGTTGGAGGCTGGAGGCTGGAGGCTGGAGAGTACAGCGGGTGGGGCCTCGAGCTCCTCGGCAGCATGTTTTTACGTGCCGAGCCGAGGGGCCACGGAGGTCCTGGCACAAGCTATCGCAACGGCTGAATTCATCAATTGAAATGCCCACGGACCAGCGTCATTTCTCGACACAAGCGCCACTGCTATGAGAACTGCATACCTGTACAAGACTACGTCGAGTGAAGAAAGACCCGCCAGCCTCCAGCGTTCAATTGACATGAGGGTATAAACACGTTCAAACATGAATCTAGCAGCCCGTTTACCCTGAATATGGCATAGATGGCGTAAACTCGACACTCTCGTGAGCGCATGGGCGCACGTATCCCTTGGCCGCTTCTCAGCCTGTGGAAGGCGACGGCTCAAGCACAAGTGACTGCTCCTGTTCCTGGTTGGCCCTCGCCTCTTCCTCGAGCACGCTGTCGAATATGTCGACGGCCAGGCTCGCATCCACAAAGTCCTCCATCTCCTCCGTCACCGTCTTGAGCTTTTCCTGGACGGCAATGGCCCCCTCTGCGCCGACAATGTGCCTCGACGGGGGATTTTCGTGTCCTCCGATGGCCGTCAGCGCGTGGACCGTCTCCATGACCAGCTTGTCTGCCGCGCCGGGGGGCAGCCTTGGGTATCGATAAAAGACGTCGCCGTGCCCCATTTCTGGCTCAAGCGAGGTGCTGGCGGGCGTCGAGGGCATGGCGTCCGAATCCGTGGTCTCGGGGATGGCCGTGTCGGGGTCGGTGTTGAGGACGCTGATGAGCATGTCGCGGATGTTGGGCGCGTTGTTGAAGATGTCGGCGTAGGCGGGGATCTGGGGCGCGAAGATGAGGCGGTTGGTGAGGGACTGAATCTCTTTGTTTGGCTGGACAATTGTGACCTTTATGTTGAAGGGCGCAATCTCGTAGGCGAGCGAGTCGCAGAAGCCCTCGAGGGCCCAGGTGGCGGCCGTGTACATGGACATGCCGGGGGTGCCTATGTGGCCGCCGATGCTGGACAGGATGATGATGTGGCCGGTGTGTTGGGAGCGCAGGGTGGGGAGGGCGGCCTTGATGAAGTTGACTTGGGTGAAGAAGATGGATTCGAACTGGTCTCGGACAAGGTTCTGGGTGGCTGGCGTGGTGGAGAGCTCCTCGACGGTCCCGACAACCGCTGGCGCCGTCAGTCAGCGACACAGGACGAGGAAGCCATGGGCAATACCTTCTGATCGGCAGCACAGCAAAATGTCGATCCTGCCAAAGACCTGGACCGCCTCGGCGACGGCGGCGCCGCACGAGCTCATATGGCCATCGCAGCGGATGCCGCGGATGCGGTCCTTCCAGCCGTCGCGGTCCTTGCGCGCGCTCTTGCACTCGTCGATGAGGTCGCGAAACTCGGCACTGCGCTCGTCGTGCTCGATTTCGTGGGGTGGCAGGCAGGCGACGACATAGTCGCCGTGGGAGAGCAGACAGCGGATCAGGCGCACGGCGAGCGGCGACAGCGCAGCCGTGAGGAGCCAGGTGCGCGGCGAGTTGTGGGTGGCTTTTGGTTGCGGCGAGGAGCTGTCAGCGTCGGCCATGGTGACGACGCCGCCACCCTGCACGGGGGCATTGTCTCCAAGCAGGCGAGGGGAGAAGGGGAAGAAGGTTCGAATGCAAGAATGCAATGGCAGTCAGCCGGCATGCAGCTGCAAAGCTTGTAGCAGCCTTGGCCGTCGCCGGAAGAAAGACGCTGCAACGGCTTTGCCGGTCGAATATGACGCTGCAAAGACAGAAAGACGACGGACGGACGTACGGAATGAGGGGGCCGGCCCCGAGTGGTGGTGGCGGGTAGTGGTGCTGCTGCCGCTGCTTTGCCCAGCCGAGGTCGGCGGGTCAGCGCCAGCGCCAGCAGCGACCGTTCTGGTTTTGCTGCTGCGCGACGCCATGCAGTGCGGGTGGTTCTGGAGAGTAGCATGCGAGGTACCTCGTGTACCCGACAGCGTCGTCGTCCATGAAGAAGAGAAAGGGAGAAAGGGACTGTACAATGAGCTGGACTGCGATGCGAGTACGCATGAAAGCGCTTGTTTGGAGGAAGGCGCTTACAATTGGCAGAGGAGAGAGAGAGGCGGAGTGAAGGTCCGCGTCGGGAGACAGCTTGGCCGACTTATACGTAGGTATTACACTTGCTCGTCCCAAGCAATGGAAGCAAGGAACCCGTCAGAATACCTGCTCCTGCCCAACCGAGCCTTGTCTCCTCTTCTCGCCCTGTTACCAGGTCCTGTTGCCAGGTGCACGGATTTCTTAACAAGTGCCGGGGGATGCCTGTGGTCCGGCAACGTCCTCGCGACAATCAACCCCAAATGCCGACCGTCCATGAGCCAGGGCGGCCCCGGGCTTCTCCCCTCCCCCGGGCCTGTTGGCGTGGAGCTTGCGTGATGAGTGCTTCCAATAGGGTCAGCTGTCCAAGGCCTCTTCAATGCAATGAGGACAGTGTCGTGCGGCACCTTGACGACTGTGTGTGTCTCGTTAGGTGATAGGTTTGCATTGACGATAATGCCGGCCGTCCACATTGAGCTATCCCTGCCTCTGGCTGTTGTCCCCCACGAACCCCGGAGAGCGCCCCCCCGCCTTCGAACTCCCATTTGCGGGCCAGCTCCAGCCCCCACCGTCATCAATGCTCCATCGCTCTCCAGCACTTCACCGACTCGTCCGCTCGCGGACCCGGCCCGGGTGGCGCGTCCGGCCGGCTGACTTATTCGGAAGAGGGGCGAATTGTCAGCAGACGACTTCGGCGCTTGGGCTGCATGAAACCCAGATTCTTGGCTCACGCATGCATGCGTGAGCAGCGAACTGCACCGATGCGAGATCCACCAAGTTAGGTATCTGCCATGCGCGTCGGCTGTTTTGCCGGTTGGCCAAGTAATTACCGTAAGTAGGTATACCGGTGTTGTATTAAGCTTGCATCTACTGTACGGACGCCTTCCCCAGGTATTAATTAAGGCATCAGTCAGGCTTGGTTGCTTCTGCTTGGATACCCTCTCTATCTACGTTATCCGCACCTACCGAGTACATGGACAACCCTCGGCATCCAATCTACTGTACCCTCGGTGGGATACCGAAATGGCTACGTACTAGTACCAGCCAAGGTGCCTTGATCCTATGGCTGGAGATGTGTATTTAATGTCCGCCACGGCCACGCAAGCCTGTACCGTAGCTACCATCGACGCCCCACGGGGCCAGGCAACGACCTGAATCCTACGGTACGAGTCGCAATCCGATCCATCAGGAGCACTGGGGCTGTCTGTCGTTGGGCCAGCCACATGGCGGACCCCAGACCCCGCGCCGCGGATTATAGCTTCAATACGGATCCGGTACCCACCCCATCTATGCAATCACATCTGCCAACTCGTGGTAGCGTCTGCTCAGCTTCGTCTGCAAGATTCAACCTCGATTGCCGAGATAAGCAAGAAATGTTTCAATGCCGTCGTCGGAAATTGCGCAAGAGACATCATGATTCATCTTGCCATTCGGTAGAGCCTCCTCAGCTTCCTCCCCGCGGCCAACTGTCATGTCATCAACTGCCCAAGAATCCCGCCCAGCATGCTTTCCGCCAGTTCGTCCTCCGCTCCCTCCCTCTCATATTCTGAAATCCCATCTCATGGCCGGTTCTGGAAGTCGGCAAGAGGTCATGCTTAATTGGTGATATCGTTTAATCCCTGGGTCGCTGATGTGTGTTGGCCGCACATTCGTGATCGTGGCATGACATCCAAGCCTGCCCAGGACCGCTTCCCCATCTTCACCCGTCGGCTTCCTCTCGGCATCGGTCACATATGGCCATGCCACAAAGCATGTCTGCCCTACCCTCCCCGCCGCCACCGCAATCTGCATGCTTGGCCGTCACTATTCTCACCCGAAGCCCGGGTTGGTGCTCCCTTTGACATGTGTTTTCGCCTACTCGTCATTATCCAAAACCACGGTCCACGCGTCGCCCAGACAGCGTTCAAGCTCATCCCCGCAGCCAGCAGCCAAGCTCAAGTCTTCCCGGAACGCTCTACCTGCACGCTCGTCGATTGCCCATACTCTGGTTCGTTGTCCACTTGCTTTCGCGGTTCCGTCAAGCCAAACAGCTCGTCCATTTTTTCCAGGCTGATGCCTTTGGTTTCAGGGACGCAAAACCAGACGAAGATGCCCATGAGTACGTCAAACGAACCAAACATGAAGAACATGCCCTGCCAGTTCTTGTCAGCGGGGATCCGCTAGTTTTGCGACAGACCAAATTTCACGTACATATCCCGCTTTGCCCATGGTGTTTTGCATGGTCAGCACAGCTGCGAAATGTGTTAGCACTCATATCGTGCAAACTGCAGACTCCAACAAAGTGACTCACTTCGAGCCATGACAAAGTTAAAGAGCCATTGGACTGCCGCAGCAAGTGCCACGTTCATCGCACGCAGTCTAGCAGTCGGGATTTCGCTGACGAGGATCCAGCAAGCCGGGCCCCATCCAAACTGGAAAGCACTGTCCCTTTCATCAGCCCCATCCCACTCCTTCACAAGGGAGGCAAAGAGGGTTTTCACGTACGCCGCCCACAGGTATATGCAGGCGATGGCCACATATCCAAACGCCGTCACCTGTTGCGGTACTTGATCAACATAAGGGCCCTCAACATGGATGATGGATGCCGTGACGCACCGGTTCCCCTGTCACCGGCGGCTGTACTCTGCCGTAGATACCAATTATGAAGAGAACGATGGCCTGCGCTGCGCTTGTCCACAGCAAGCTCCACCGCCGGCCCAATGAGTCGGCAACGAAGACGAGGAAGATGGCACAGGCTGCCGTCTTGGCGACGCCATAGACTCCGGTAGCAAAAAGCGACGAGTCGGTTCCATTCATGCCCAGGTTTTGGAAGATTTGCGGGGCGTAGTAGTTCTGTGGTTGGTCATGCGGTCAGTGCTCAAGCACGGAGGAGCCCGACGGAAGCTCTCACGATGGAGTTTACGCCAGTCATTTGCTGGCATATCATGAGAATGACTGAGATGATGGCGCGGTTGCGGTTGCCCGGAACCAGTGCCATTTCCTTGAGGAGCGTCATGGCCGTCGCGTCTCCCGTCAACCGTCTCTCCGCCTCGAGCTGATCGGCCATTTCCTGGATTTCGTTGGAGACGTATTCCGAGTCGGCCGGGAGCCTGTCGGCAGTTAGTGCACGGTTGCCTTTGACGACAGGCCTCGCTGTGGCTACCCTCTAAGGTTGACGAGGATCTTGGTGGTCTGTTCCCAATCATCCTGTCGGGCACACCATCGGGGGCTTGATGGCGGGTTAGCAGGCGACTGCTCGGGCACACAGGAGCGGATGGAGGACATGCCTTTCAGGGGATAGAAACATTCCTAAGATGAGGAAACTGCGAATTCTCATCAGTGCCGATTCACTCCTGGGCACACAAGGCATGGCTGAGGCCTAAACGCACATGGCAGGGAGCGCCTGGAGAGAGAGGGGCACGATATAGACGGCAGGAGCGGGCACGTGCAAGAGGCAGCCGTAGTTGACCCTTGGGTGAGGCAAGCGTCAGCGAATCGATGCCTGCTCATCGACATGACCTGAAGCGCGTACCAAAACGCCACCATGATGCCAAAGACGATGAAGAGCTGATAGAATGCTGGCGAGCCGAGTCAGGACTGGACTGGACCATTTTCGACCATGGCTTACAGGTCAGGCCACCGCGGATGCCTCTCGGGGCGCACTCGGAGACATAGACGGGGGTCAAGGTCGAGGCCGCTCCAACGCCGAGGCCAGCGACAAACCTGCCGACATACATCAATGCCAGCGTGCCGTTAACCGCCGATGCCGCCTGCATCACGACGCCAACGGTTGTGAGCGCTCCGGTGGCCATCAGACAGCGTCGTCGACCGTACTTGTCTGTCAGCCAGGACGTGACAAGGCAGGCAGCAAAGCATCCGGCCTGGAGCGTCGAGACAATGTTCTGGTCCAGGTTGGACTTGGCCGCCTTGGACTTGTGCAGAGTGCCGAATTTCTCCTGGGCGGGCTTCATGGCCAGGACTCCGCCGATGGCTCCCGTGTCCCATCCGAAGAGCATGCCGCCAAAGCAGGAGGCGCACACCAGGGCAAAGACCCTCCAGCCGTATATCTCGTCAGGGTCGTGGCGCATCGCATCGTTGCGAACGATGGACCGCAAGACCTTGACCAGCACAGCCATTCTCTCCTTGGGCTAGGAGGAGTATCAACTCGACGCGGGCGTTCAAGGCGGACGGGGGATATGCCGAGTCTGGTGGGCGCTCTGCCCGGCCTCTGGACAGCTGCAGAAGGTGGGAGAGGGAAAGCACCTCGGATCGACTGAGGTGGCGCCGGCTACAAATATCACACGCCAAGCACACCCTTGTCACCCCACAGCCGTAGGGAGTAAGCGGGAAAAGGTGCGGAGATCTCATCGTGTCCCTGGACCAATGCGACAGCGGCGGCACTCGGTCATTTGCTAGCGAAGCCATCCCGGAAATCGAGTGTGCATTGGCGCGGCGTCGTCTAATGCACATTGGCGAATCTGACGTGCCTTGGCCTCGCTGCCCAGGCACTTCAGGGCAGCGGACTAGCCTCTGTGGCTGGATCAAAGGTGCGTTGTCGTCGGTCCTTTTTGCAAATGGTGCCACAGACCAAGCACGAGGCCCAACTTCGGCTGCGCAAGAGGAGAAAACAGCCAGGCCACGCTCCTCTCATTAGATTCAAGGCGTGGCTTTGGATGACATTCACGATAGGGGCACAGACGGCTCGCCCGAACCCTTACCTGACGACGGCCAAGTTCGGCAGGGACTTGTCGGCCGAAAGCTCGACAGCTGGTTTGTGTAACAACTTCTCCTTGCGGCGTTGATACCTACCTACCCAGACCTACCGGTGAGGGTCACATGCAGGGTCACTTGACGGGCTACCTTAGTCTCACGCAAGCAGGGAAAACGGCAGAACCTGAGAACACACTTACCTACGCAATCTTCTTCAATTGGCCCACAGAGAGCCTCTCCTTTGCAGCCCTCAGCCCTCTTTCGCACCATCTTGGTGCCTGTGCCGCATTAGGCAAGCCGCAGATCCCGGCTCTGGCAACTATCGGCTGGCCTTCGCGCGGCGAATCTCTATTGTTAAACTTTTCTTTTTACCTAACACCACACACCTCGACGCATTGACTGATACGCTTATATATTATCGGATTCTGGAATGGAGACTCGTCCCAGGTAGACTCAACATTCGCGCCATGCGCCCGGGTCCACACGGGTCGCCTTGTCAACAACATCGCGAGCGGGGTTTATCCTGTGGATACGTCCAAAGCAGCCATCGCGCTCATGCAGGCGGCCCGCGCGGGCTGGCATGTGTACGACTTTGAACTTGTGAAGTGGGTGGGTGAGGGACGCGACCTGGCCCTGCGCTGGAAGCTCAACGGCGTCGTTGGAGCTGATTTCCAGAAACCGACGTAGGATGAGTGGCTTCTGTCTTTGCTTTGGTCGGGCTTGCGCACCTGGTGTTGCACCTATCGCGCGAGCCATGCTTACCTGAATTGGTCTGACGCATGAGGATGGGACACCGAAAGAAGGCGCCAACGTCACTTATGGCGGCACCGACTTCCTGCAGCTCGATCGGTGCACTGGCTTGATCGAGCAAGCCCACATCGTATAGGACTCGATCGGCCTGTTGTATGACCTTGGTAATAGGCAAGTGACGCTGTAAAAGCTGAGGTCAGAACATGGTGGTTGTGAGGAGTGAATGTCGCTACCCTGAATCGGTTCATACATAAGTCGCGGCATTGCTAAAATGCTTGTCTAGTAGAACATCCAACTCTAAGTAGTTGCTCCTACTCGGTTGAATAGATTTAAGGAAAGGAGTATAGCGTTAAGCCAGGTGGCCGAGCAGATGGTTGCCTGACAAAAGGCTGCGATGGTTAGTGGGGCTTGCGCGTCTTTTCCAAAGTTGTTGCAGGTGTAATTAATTAGCTGCTTGCTTATCAGTCTTTCATGGCACCTGCACTATGCGATATCTCAGCCATGTCTCGATGATATATGCTCTTGCAACACTATTAGTTTCTGACCGACCGACTATGTTTTTAACCTCGTTTTGCTTCTCTCGAAGCTCTGTAAATTTGCTCATAATGACCGCCTAAACAGGAAACTGGACGTCTATAGGAACATCTGATTTGGGTGAAGACCTTTTTGGGCCGCTTCGTTGGTAGAGCTCACGAGTACAAGCATGACAGCACAATGCAGTGGGTTTACTAGAGGCGCACTTCAAGGACCTCTGGCTTCCCAGTAAAATAGAATCACATACCTATGTAGACTCTGCTACGGCGCTTAAAGATTGATTGCCCGCCCGGCAGTGTGCTGTTGTAAACTAACAAGTTTAATTGGCAGCTGGGCGGCATCGATGATCAAGTATCGTCCAAGTTCCAGGCCTTTCCCCTTTAGGCATTACAGCCCCCCGCTTTAAGTACTAACATGCCTTGGTCATTTAAAACGGGCCTCAAGCTTCTTGAAGGCGCGAACTTGAGGGAGCATAGGAAGTGACTGTCGTGAAAATGGCTGGAAATAATCTCTTGCCCCGCCTTCTTCTTCGTTGGCATACAACTTGCATGCAGGAAGCACCAGATTCTTATCGATCGACCGCAGCGCGCACGGTCCGACCGCGGTCCGAAGATAACGAAATAGCAGCTTACGGGCTTTCCTCCGCCGCTGAGAAAGGGTTATTCCCGTGACGTTATCTACATAGACAAAGGTTGAGAAACTAGAGCCGATCGGCTGACTAGGGTAATTGAATAACAACAATAGTATACCGTTGACGTTGATTTATTATAGGGGGCTGGGGGTTTTTTCCTCTAAGGGGGAAGCCCGGTAGGTAGCCTGAAAGTAAGACACTGGAGCGATCCGCTAACAGCACCTGACCTTAGCCACTTAGTCCGCCGTTTGCGCAGCGACCGACCCGTCGGCACTTCCACCTGCTATTGCTATTGCGCCCATTATACCGCCCAGCCAGCAGCGTTTGCCGCCCGAGAGGCCAGCAAATTGTCGCTCAAAAGACAGGCATTCATTCGCCATGTGAACAAGACTCGGACCTCCTCTGGACCGCGGCGCCCTTTCCACTTGCTGGCGAATATAAATTTGCCCGGCCTTGTCTTGACGCAAGGAAACGCCGTCTTGTTTCCTGCAACCCGCCACGAGAACCTCAATCACCTGGAGCCGTGGTTCAGGAATACCAGAAAGGTTTCAGAAGGCACAGGATCTCCTTCGTCTGCTTGGCCTCTTTGTTCTCTCTGCGCCTCCCTGCGCCCGTTGTCACCCCCCTTTTTTCTGGCTGTCGCCACTTAGGATATATTGCAGCTGCACTCATTGTCACGCCTGCCTTGGTCATCATGTCGAAACCCCTGGCTTCGCGCGCGTCGAAGAAAAAGGCCGGCCCCAGAAAGTCGAGGGGGGGTTCAAGGAAGCTTCTGACCAGCAGCAAATCGCCCCTGGCCGAGGCCGACCTCAGGGTGAGTCGAGATGCTTTTTAGCGACATGATGAGCCGTCGACTAACCTCGCGCCAGGCTATCTTATCGAACCCCTTGACATGGAGTGTCCTCGACGACAGGGACCGAGACGAGATTCTCGCGCTCTTCCCGGACAAGCAACACATGATTGATGCCGACTCGGCCTCGGCCCGACCCAACTTTGCCTCCCTCATGAGCGACGACAGCGTTCGCAACGACTGCGCGGCCTACACAGAGAACATGGCCGAGGGCCGGCACGACGAGGGCTGGCTCTGGGACGCGTGGACGGCGCATGAGAGGAGAAAGGCGGGCGACTTTGACGACTTTCTCGACGCCAAGTTTGCGCAAGACTGGGGCGTCGAGCGAGGGGCCGAGGCCTCGCCAGGGATTTGAAAGGAGCGTAAGACGTTTCCGGCCCTTTGCCTTTTCACCTCCTTGTTCTTTTCGCCTCGCGGTCTGTTGGAGCAGATGGAGGCAGCGTCGGTTCCGAGCCTTGTTTTGGGTATTCAGTGAATCTGTTGCCTGGATTGGGTGGTGCTCATCACCCGGGTCAGCTCATGGCTGCGTCATAATCTGCATTGTTATCATGGCCTGCCGCTCTTGCAATGGCAATCTTTCAAGGCGAGAAGTAGTTGCATTTTGCGACTCAGTTCAAAAATGGCCAGATTGAGCTCACTCCCGGCACCTGAAGCAGGGCTCACGGCACAGTGCACGATGCACGGTGAGTGGCGGGGCCAAGTTATTTACCCGCCATCTTCCTTCATTGACCAGGAAAACCGCAGCTGTCAAGCTTGAGACGAATGGATTAAATCAGACGCACTGAGAGGGAGCATCGAGGCATCGCAGGCTATACAAGAGACCACCTGCGACGCCATGGCGTCCGCCGGCTCGCACGCCCGCTCTCACAGCCTCCTGCTGCTCCAAAAGATGCTCAACCTGCGCGACGCCGCCAGTCCGCTGACGCTCGTCCTCGACACCCTCGAGCAGACGGCTCGCCCGCTGCTCCTCGAGCTGTATACACGCGCAAAGGTACGGCCCAAGAGCCATGGATCATGGTCGGGAGGTGAATGGCCGGGGCTGGGAAGCTAATGTGTCTTTGCACAGATCTCCAAGACCAAGGTCATCCTCGTCTCCCTTACGACAGTCAAGAAGCCCCGTGGTGTCCACGTCCTTGTCAGGGCGGCCGGGCGGGACCTCAAGGCGGTCAGACAGGAACTCATGGCTCACTATCCCGCCGCGCATGGCAAGCCGAAACCCGCAGAGAGTGAGCCCTGCACGATGCGCCTGGCACCGCACCCACACGCATGAGAGCTCACACACACCGCAGGAGCCGTCGTCGTCGTCGACTCGCTCAACAGCATGGCGACTGCCGACGCCGGGTTCCTGGCAGCCTTTCTCTCGAGCATCCTCACCCCGGCCGTGTCTATCGTGGCCGTCTACCACGCCGACGTGCCCGTCATCCTGCCCAAGGCCTCCAACGAGTACGAGCCCGCGCCGCTGACTATACTCTGCCACCTTGCCACGGCAATCCTGCGGCTGTCCAGCTTGCAGCAGGAGGTCGAGCGGCAGCGGGCCCGCAATCGAGCCCTGCAGGAACCCGAATGGGGGCTCAAGGAGGAGCGCGAGGGCGTCATCATCGGCCTCCGAGGCAGCGTTGAGAGCGAGGGAGGGAGAGGGCTCGTCATCGACATGGAGCTGCGGAGACGGAGCGGGCGCACCGTGTCGGAAAAGTTCATTCTCACTCCCGGGAGCAGCTCGACCGGGCCAGGCCGTGTCTCCCTCCTGACGGACCACGCCATGTTCGCGGCGTCGACGGGCGGCGGCGGGGCGGACGGCGACGAGGGAGAGGAAGGGCCCGAGAGCACCTTTGACCTGGGCCTAACGGAGAAGCAGCGCAAGGACAGGGAGGGCATCGTGCTGCCGTACTTTGACGCACAGACGGACATTGGCGCGGGCGAGGGCGGAAGGATCTTGTACGACATGGGACGCGAGGACGACTTTGACGACGAAGAAGACGAGATATGAGCATGTTGGGGCCGGCTTGGCGGTGAGTCGTCAACTTGTCTTTGCCGGGACAAGAAGCCATGGGCACTTTGATATTCTAACCCCGACCCCCAAATCCGGCATGCACCCGATACACGCCGCGACGGAAGGCCACAGACAGACGCCTTTGGACTCGGGGATTTTTGCCCTGTGGTCTGGAGCCTGCTCTTCATGACAGGCACTCCGGCTTACACGAAGCCGTTGAGCAGCAAACAGAGCCATGGAATGACTGTAAAGATGCACTTGATGAAGCCGCCCGTAATTCGAAGCCGCCCGCCAATGAGAGTAGTCGCATTCCCTTACACGGTGGGAAATACGTACCGGTCTGTAGCGCAACAGCCGCCACCACCTCCCTAATAACAGAGACATCCATCAATCCTCCCCCACCAAGACGCATCTCGAGTCCCCAAACTACGCCACCTCAACTTCAACCGCCCCGATTCCGTTTCCCCGTTCCAATTGCGGCCCTGCAAACCCGTCTTCCCGTCGCACCATCGAGCGAGAGGGCAAAGGGGGTCTGCTACACGCCCTCACGCACCGGGCGCTTAGGCGGCTGCCCTCGGCAAAGACTCCGTCGTCTGCTTGCTGCTTGGACACGTAGTCGGAAAAAGCCCGACGGCGCGCAGCATCTCGGGCTGCGTCGTCTCTTGCAAGACTCGTCCCCCGCTGGCATCGGACAACGACATATTGCCCAGCATGATTCTTTCGACGCAAATATCCAGGCTAGATGGTGCGGGACGTCCCTTTGCCTGGGCACTTCAACCCTTTCTTCCCCAGTTGGAACGTGACGGCGATTCCCTTTCACTTTTGCTGACTTGGACCACTAGGCCTCATGCTCTGCGCCTCGGTCGACGATGAACAGGTCCGTCCTCACATTTCCCCCCTACCCCCGCCCAACCACCGCATGGCTCTCTCTCTCGCGCGCGCGCTCACCACATGTCCATGTCTAGTCCGAGGCCGCCGCCCTCAGGGAGGTCAAGCAGCAGATCCGCCAAGTCCTGCGCAAGCTCACGCGCAACTCGGAGTCGCAGGCGTCCATCGAGACGGGCGCCTACACGATCCACTACCTCGTCGAGGCCGACGTCATCTTCCTCTGCATCTGCGAGCGTTCCTACCCGCGCAAGCTCGCATTCACCTATCTCGCCGACCTCGCCCGCGAGTTCTCCACGACGCACCCGCCCGCCCAGGTCCACTCGCCGTCCCTGCGGCCCTACGCCTTCATGGACTTTGACAACTTCATCGCCAAGACGCGCACCCCCTACGCCGACGCCCGCGCCGCCCAGAACCTCGACAAGCTCAACGACGAGCTGCGCGACGTCACAAAGGTCATGACCAAGAACATCGAGGACCTGCTCTACCGCGGCGACAGCCTCGAGCGCATGGGCGAGATTAGCAGCCGCCTGCGCGACGACAGCAAAAAGTACCGTCGCGCCGCCGTCCGCATCAACTGGGAGCTGCTGCTCAAGCAGTACGGGCCCTTTGCCGGACTCGGTCTCTTCGTCTTGCTCTTCATCTACATGCGCTTTTTCTGACCGGGGGACGTGGGCACGGCGAGGCGCGGGCGAGGCGTATGATCGTTTTCTTGCAATACTCTATGTAAAACTATGCGACCATGTTTGGTGCTCGTCGACTCGTAATCTTTTCCCAGTACTCGCACCTATGATGCGTCGTCGTCAAGCTTCGTTACATTGTATATGGTTTTCCCCAGCTAGGCGGTAGCGCACTGCGATTTGCCCTCCCGACGTCTGCACAGCCTTCTCCATGACTCCCAAACTCCAGTGTCGCTGGATCAAAAATGTAGCTAGTTAAGCCGCTCTGTCATGTGGCGTTTCTCTCCTCTCATCTCTGCTCGTCTTGTGCTGGTAATATTAATGGCGCTTTACATGATCTGGCAACTATTCGAGGATGGCAGGGACACGGGCAGCGTGGCGGGCAACGTGGCGGCCGTATGCTGCCACTCGAGGTGCTCCTGGAGAGCGGCCAGGTCGTCGCACTCGTTTGCGGGGCGGTACACGTCCTCGTCGTCGTCCTCGTCCTGTGGCAACTGGGCTTCTTCCTCGCAAAAGGGACAGAGCAGCCTTGCCTGCCAGTCGCCGTGCAGCGGGGCCATGTGGTTGGCGATGGCAACGGGCGCCGACACGACCTGTTTCTCCAGCGCCCCGGACGCGGTGGTTCCTGGTGCTTGCCAACAGGGATACGCCGCCGTCGCTGTTGCGCTCGGGGAGTTGGTCGCTCCTGGGTGGGCGGGTCGGGGCATGGGCACGTCCTCGAGGTCCTCCCAGACGATGTGCCCGTCGCAAAAGTCGCATATAAAGGCAATGTCCTGCTCGCCGAAGCGCTCAAAGCCCCCGATGGCGGCGCACGTCCGCAGCTCCTCCAACAGTCTCCTCCAAAGGCCATCGTCGGCCGCGACGCCATTGCGCCTTGTGGGCTCGCGGCGCTGGATGCGGCGGACGAGGAAGGCGCCGAGGCACCGCTGCGACGACTCCTGGTCGGACGTGAAGATGCGCTGGGCGGCGCGACACTGGGCGCGATGCAGGTCCTTTTGCAGCGTATGCGTTTCGCGGGTCCAAACAGGGTTGATGGGCCCGCCTGATCGAGCCCAGTCCTTGAGGGTGAGGGTATGATTATGGAACCGGGCGCGCAGCGCCCTCAGCTCCTCGATGGATTCGTCTGCGCCCCACAATGTCAGCATGTCTGCACAACCCAGCGGAGACGCGTATGGACCAATCCAAGAAGCCCCCCGGCGAAGGACGTACGTTTGCGGTCGTGCTCGTAGTAAGACGATCCGTGAACGAGCGGCGAGAGCTCTTGAAAGTCCTTCCTGGCCTCGTCGAGGGCCTCGTCGAGGGCGCGCAGCTGCTCGTGCTCGTCAAGGCCCCAGTGGCGCTTGTCGGCCAAACCGAGGATACGGCGGCCTTCGGAAATGAGGTTTGCGATATCGGCCAGCAGCGTCCCCACGGAGTCGAAGCCGCTCATTGCGGCCGCCAGCGATGGGGAGCACAACGGTGTTGGCGGCGGCGGCGGGCGGGTGATGGCAGCGACAGCGGCTCGGCGGAGCCTGCAAAGGCCGGCGAGGCACGCACGCCGCCAGAGAAGACGAGGCGGTGGTGGTGATTGGCGACGATGCTGGTGATGTTGATGATGGCGGAGGGGCAGAGGAGAGGGAGCACCGGCGACGGCGCTTGAGGAGCACCCCTTGGGTGCACATGAGGGACGTAAAGGGACGACGACAATAAGGCTGAGGCTGAGCGGCGGCGGAGAGATTTCCGTCGTCGACGGGCTCTCTCTCTTGTGAGTGTCAAGGCAGATTGGGTACTTTGATGTAACTTAACTATTTGATTGCGAACTTGGGGGGAGGCAGTGGAGGCAAGTGGGTAGCCGAGCCCCGTTCTTGAGGCTAAGGTAGGTACTTGGTAATGACACTGTGTACAAAGTACCAGCACAGTCGCGACCTCGGGATCCGTAGCGCAGCTCTCATCAGTTTTGGGTCTCCGCCACGTTTGCTCATAACGACAGTTGTTGGGCCTACTGTGCATATTGCATGCGGCTCCTTTCATCTTGGTTTCTCGGGCCCGTACCAGACGTCGTCGACGTCGAGTTCTCCATCAAGGCTCGACCCAACCGTCCCTGGGGTCATCGCCCAGCCTCCTCTCTACCCATGTAAATCCCTCTGGGACGGCAACGTAGGGTTCTTCCTGCGGTGAATTGCCCGAGGCATGTCCATGCATGTCATATTAGGCACCCAAGAGTCATCTGAGTGGTTGGTGACGCGGTCTCACCCTGTTGGGCGGCCCGCATTCCGTCGCCCGTCTCCCTCGGCCGGAGCATGCAAGCCTGGCTGCCTTATACATCGTGCACAAGGCGTTCTGGTTATGCACACATCCATCTAGTACAGGTGCGGATGCAAACGACAGGCATTGACACTGCAGGCTTCTTGTACACTCGCTCAGGCAGCCCGCTGCCTCACCTTCGCTTGCTTGCCTGCCCGGCATCGCGCCCCGTCGCCTTGCCTTCCGCCTCGTTGGCCGCCTCGGCCGCTGGCTTCTTTGCCTCTGCCTTTTCCTCCTCCTTGGCCTTGAGCGCACCCGCGGCACCGACCCCCTTGTCCTCCTCGCCGCCCTGGCCAAACTCGTTGACGCGTGTGTGGTCGATCCTGTACGCCCACCGCTGGTACAGATAGACAAAGAAGATGACGTCGTCACGGAGCGTCGCCAGCCGGTGCAGGATGGGCATCTTGACGGTAAAGGCAAACAGGTCGTCGATGAAGGTGTTAAGGAACTTGTACATCATGGCCTTGGCCGGCATGTGCGCCACGCTCTTGAGCCGGTAGTTGATGTATAGCGACGGCACCATCATGAGGAAGCCGTACGTGTACACCGACCCCACGAGCGTCGTGATGATGAACGAGTACCACGACTTGTGCGTCTCGTAGAAGAGCGAGTAGATTCCGTAGCCAATCAGCAACGGCACCGCGCCCACGTACATGTAGCGGAAGGCAATCTCGTCGTACTCCTTGGTCTTCTCCTCCGTCTCCGTCAGCTGGTGCTTGTCTTCGAAGACGATCCGGTACGGGAGTAGCGACCCGGCCGTCGCCGGCCGCACCCTGACGTTGACCACGGTCGTGATTTTCCAGAACTCGATGACAATACCCACGATCTGCGTGCCCAGGATCATCCAGCTCGTGTTTTGCGAGTTGTCCAGCAGGTACAGGAAGATGATGGTCTGCATCAAGACGTTGGCCAGGATCGACCGCACCGAGATGCCAATGTTGTCCTTCTTCTTGCGGTAGTGAGCAATGTCGGAGCCAAAGGCTAGAGTCTCGAGGATGAGATGCGCCACCGTCACAACGGCCGTGATGCCGAGCAGAATGGGGTTGGTATCAATGAAAATCTCCTTGACCATTTCAATCTCTGTGCCGTCGCCGCCGCCGGGCAGCGAGGCCCCGAATGCCGCTTGGCGGGCGTTTTCCTTGGAATTGGACTCGATGGAGGCCAGCATCTGGAACTGCCAAAAGGCTATGTTCTTGAGGTCAATATGCAGGGGAAGTTCTTTGACCGTGTCGTTGAGGACAGTCATGTGGCTTGTCAACTGCCAGAAGGTGTTGACAAACAAAAGGGGATCTGCGAAGAGGCCTCTAGGTCAGCATAGACGCAGCAAGATGGAACGAGAGCCAGATGATACGTACAGTACCAGCCGTTTTCACCGGTGCCGTCTCGGGCGCCCGTGGCCTCGAGGCGCAGGAACTGCTTGATGGCCGGGTGCAGTTGGGACAGGTCCTTGACGCCCGTGGCCGGAACAAAGGCGAAGCTGGCATTAGGATGGTAGTGGCTGGTGATGATGGGGCCGGCAGACGCTGGCCCCTCCGGCTCTTCTGTCGCAGGGTCCGGACGACCCTCGAGCAGGTTCCGTGTCTTGGCGACCTTTTTCTTGGCGAGATACTGGGTAAGAGGGTAGGTAAAGTGATAGGCTGTGGCAGGGTCGAAGCCCGGCTCCTTGGGATCCACGACGCTCCCGGCGAGCCCAATGTAGAAGTGCCCCCATAGCGTGCCATTATTCTGGACGGCCTTGGGGACGGTAAAGGTGGTGTCGATGGAGCGGGTGTCCGACTTGTTGTCCATGTGAAAGTCCTTTTCCTGCAGCACGACATATTCGGCCGGGGTCTGCGAGATGGGGATCGGGTTGAAGGACGGCGAGAGGGTGACGACGATGTCGACGTGGCTATCCTGGGCCCAGATGGGCGCAATCTTCTTGGGGATCGGCCGGCGTTGGGCGCCCTCGTTGAGCATCTTGGGGCGCAGCTGGTAGGGCGGGATGCCTTCCATGTTGGCGGCGACGGTGACTTTCTCGCCGGTATCGGGATTGGTGACGACGGTTCCCTTCTGGTCCTTTTGCGACATGTAAGAGAGGCCATAGTTGATGCCAAAGTAGACGGCGGCGCCGAGAGCCAGCTTGGTCATGCTGAAGCCCTGCGACGGCGGTTAGACAAGCCGCAGACGGGGCTCGACGAGGCTCGACTTACAGATGTTTGCCGCCCCTGCGGTTGCTGCTGGGGCTGGCCCGCGACGATGGCGCCGGACGACGAAGGCATCGCGACGAGTGGGAGAGGCCCTGAAGAAGTGCTTGCTCGTCACGTCGCCGGCGGACGTCGTGGCTTTTGCTGGAGCAATGCACAATCGTCAATCGTGCAAACACGAAGTAAGGTACGTATACAAAGTACAAAGTATCGGTACTGTAGATTCTGGACCCCCTTGCAGAATCCACGAAGCCCGGAACGGATTTACTTGGAGGAAGGACTCGCTCGGAACATCGTAATCCCGGCAAGTCTACCAACTGGCACCAGCAACCTCACGTCCTGCAACTTCAATGTTGGGCCTTGATCCATGGGTGGATGAATCTGTTCAGGAATGATCCCGTCGGCGTTTCGCATCGGTGCCTTGAGCTTGGATGAAGGGCTGAGACTACAAGGCAGCACTCGGCTCGCGAATCTCGGCGACAGGCGACGCCCGGGAGAGAGTATGAGATCATTGAGATGTGCGCCATTTTCGCTTGCCTCGAGATTAGACTCTCTTGCGGATATTGGAGTGTCATTGAGCGAGCTGAAACTGCTTTGGACCCTACGGTTTTTTTGAGTATGTTTCCGGGGAAACGCCGGTGATGATTCCAGCGAGAACGCTTCATTGAGAACATCTATGTTGGTGAATAGCCCTTATCCTTCTGAGGCCTTTGGCATCTTGTGATCGAGTCCGGCTATCGAACAAATCAGTCTCAAATCGGGTGCTTCAGTCTGATGGGGAGTTTGTCCGCTTCAGCTACAGCTGGCCCATCATCGTCTTGCCCGTATTTTGATTGCTCTCCTCGACCGCATAGGCCGACCTGTGCGAGCGCATGGCATCATCGCCACGCAGGCGGAACCATTCGGTTAGAATGCCAATAAAACCTTTGTGTAACCCGTAACTCGGAAGTACGAGACAAGGGCCCATGCAGATGTCACGTCACGTATCGACAGCTGGCTCATCATGACTGGCGGGCAGCATCAAGAACCTGAAGCGTACAGTCGTACGTTGACAGCACGGCCACATATCTACGGCAGATGACGCACGTGAGGAAGCGAATGGATGAGTAGAGGAGATGCGACGCCGTGATTGCATCGCACGTCGATTTCAAGAGTAGTTGCACGGACCAAACCACCCCGCCCTGTCGAAAAAGGCGCGTCGCCTGGATGCGTTGCAATGCACGACAACGACTGCCTCTAGCCTGGCTCCCGTGTTGCAGTTCCCGAGGGCGCCGGGATCTTGGAAAGACAGCCCGTCTGTACCGGCGATGACGTGAGGGTATGTGAGCTTTTCGTAGATACATAAGACGAGTCCCTCTACTAATGAGTCCTGTTGGATTGCAACCTCGAGCATTGATTGACACTCAGTTTCAAGGATGTGATACAGTGTTCCCGACTCCCACAGCTCACACAACCCACCGGACACCATGGGTGACCGAAAGGTGAGTTTACTTCGAGAAAAGCATACTTCTTCGTACACTGCGTCCCGAATATACGTAAGCGCTGACCACAACTCCAAGAAAATCTACTATACCTTCAAGGGCGTCGAGGAGTGGGAGCAGAATAACAAAAAAGTGGACGAGTGAGCTGCGCGTGGGCTCCAGCAACGGCTTTTGGCTCAGTAGCCACTAACTAAGTATTCACATGTAGGATTGTGAAAGCGGACACCGATGCCGAACACTGGGCTTGCAACAAAGCACTTCCTCCCACTTGTTATCCCCCGTGAGTTCTGGACAAGCTTGAAGCTGACAGTGGTGTCGAGCATGCACGTACCGGGCACCTGGCTAACCTTTCAACTTGTCTAGGGCCATGAGCATCGAGGCCATCGACAAGCTGAAGCAGCTCGACGGCGTCGTGGTGGGTGAGATTGACGAATGATACGAGACATGCGAGAGGCTGGGGGTCTGCCGACGGGCATCAAACAAACTTTGTATGGCTGGCTCTCGAGTTCCCTCATGAATCGACCGATAGTGTCATGTCATGCCACATATCTTAATCCGTATGGGCTGCGACCACGCCTACTACATGTCAATTCTACTGCCCCTGCCTACGGAGTCCATGTATGAAGATCCGCTCCGTGCTATGCAGGAGGCCGTTGAACATTGCCATTCTCCAGCTGGCCTGTCGCCCTGCTTCATCATGTAACTTGCGTATATCGTCCCTCCATCCGTCGCATGTCTCCCTGCCTCACTGGCGTCAAAGAAGGGTTTTTTCCCGCCGAGCTTTGTATACAGTAGATAAAGATGGCGGCTCCTGTTTTATTAAACTAGGAGCCAAGCTTCTCGTATCGGGCCTTCTATGAAGAACTTGGCACGGCACTAAGGACACTTGTCATCAAATAGGAAAGGTTGCAGCTGGGAGTCATGCTCATTCTAGCCAGACCCTCCGAAGAAGCTAATGACGTGGGTCTTCCCAAATACAATAGGGCGCATGGCGGGGACTATGTGGATATAGAGTTATAGACGTGGTATCCGTAACTTGGTCACCAGCCCACACGTGGAAAGTTGCTGCTGTGACTGGTGAGTATGGGCCGGACGGCCGGACGGGGCAAAACCTGAAATTTGTTAATGCTGCCTCCTCTTTCTCGCGGAAAACTAGCGAGTTGAGTGTGAGTTGCAAAGGTTCAACGAGTTGGAACCGATATGACCAGGAAAAGACGCTCATGCCAGGCACTCCGTGGGAGCTTGGGAGGCCTTTGTAATATCACGTCGGGACAAAACGCCAACAAGAATCGCACTCCAGTGGAACCATCGAAGAGTGCAAGTCATGTTTGATTGATCGCCCCATACTCATGCAGCTTTCCAGCTTGACCGTCCGGTGAGCGCCCAGGTACTTGGTGGCTCCGCTATCCCAGTTCGAACCCAGACAATACCAATGATATAACTTTGATTAAGGGCCCAATTATCTATACACCTCCTTTTATTAACTGTACACCAAAAAGTGGATCAACTGTGGCTGGGTCAGGCGCAGTGCCGATGCCGCTAATTTTGGTGCGCCCATTCCCGGCCGGCCAGCTGGCCAGTTCGTGATGCTTGCGTAACAACATCCTGTAACCGTAACTATCAGCAATACCATCAAAACTGAAGCTATTCGCACCGCGTTTTCTGCCCTTACGAGCCCGAATCATGGAGTCGCTTACGAAGACACTATTCCCGACCTTCCAGGCCGCGATGGAAGCCGCCGATACCGTTGCTGAGGCTGAGGCTACGCCCTACACATTCGAACATCGAAGCGGGATAACGCTGGCCAACGCAAGTCTGCACTTGTTCGTTGTATCAAGGCCGGCCCCTACGAAAATCGGAAGGATAAAGCTGCTCATATCTCTCGTCGTCGCCTCAATACAGCAACCCAGAAAACAGACTGTGAATTTCGCCTCTCGTTGAAGGAAAACGCGGTTACTGGACTATCTCTTATCTTCACGATGTTCACAATCATCGCCTTGTTGATGACCCGATGGTCTTTCCGAAGTACCGGGCGCTTGTTATCCAGAAGTATCGCGACGACATTATCCGGAAGTTTAATAACAATACCCGGCCGACCGATATTGCTGGCGAGCTTCGTGACCTGGTTCACGACGATCCTCGTTTAGCCGGTATCACGGCTCAAGACGTGAGTAACGCCTTGGCTAGGCACCGTCAGGAAGAACTAGCTGGCCGTACGCCTCTTCAGTTTCTCTACGGCCGGCTAGATAAGTCCGACTTCTTTCATCGAGATAGTCGTGATCCCCAGGGCCGGCTAACTGGGCTATTTCTCGCGCCTCGTGCTACCTTCCATCGATGGCGTCAGCATCACGATGTCCTCGTCCTCGACTGTACCTACAAGACGAACCGATTCAATATGCCGTTATTGAATATCTGCGCGGCCACTCGAGATAACAAAACGTTCTCTATTGCCTCTATCTTCTTGAACGGCGAGACCGAGTCCCATTACTATTGGGCTATCTCGTTGCTGCTAGTCCTTTGCGAGAAGGAGTCGATCCCATTTCAAGGGTCACTGTCACGGACCGAGATACTGCGTTGCTTAAGGCGTTAGATAGCTTTCGCGAGCTTCAAAACAGTACTAACCTTCTCTGCACGTGGCATATTAACCAGAATGTCGTTGCGAAATGCAAGCAATTTTTCCCTAAGGCATCAAAAATCGGCAATCGAGTCGTACGGGCCCCGGCATTCCAAGCGTTTCTACAAGAGTGGAACGAGATCGTCAAGTCACAAGATGTGAATAGCTTCAACGAACGTTTACGCCAATTTGAGACACCAGGCCGCCACCCGCTTGCAGCTATACAATACTGTTGCAATACGTGGCTAACGCCTTGGAAGGAGAAGTTTGTATCTTGTTTCGTTAATCAATATCGCCACTTCGGGCGTACAACGACCTCGATCGTCGAGGACTTCACTCTCATATGAAGAAGTTCCTTTGGTCCTGTACGGGCGATTTGACGACCGTTTTCCAACGATTCGAACGCTTCTGGGGCCATCAGGCTGCTCAGATCACAGCGATAGAGAATCGAAACCTCCACAAGATATCAACGTTCTCCTACAGGCGCCGTATATGCCGATCCGCGAGCGAGTATCGTCATATGCGTTAAAGCTACTAATAGATGAGCATCGCAAGATCCTCTAGACCCCGAAGTCAACGGGCCAAACCGCCGCCAGGTCAATGTCCTTGTAATTGGGCTACTAGTCGAGGGCTACCGTGCTGCCATCGAATCTTCGAGTCTATCAACACCAATACCTCCCTTACACTCGACGACTTCGACCCATTTTGGTATATTCCGATCGATACAAGCGCTCAGGGCACAAGCCCTACTCGGGCACCATACGAGCCACAAGTTATCAGGGCTAAGGGCCGCCCCAAGGGCTCACTCAACCTCGAAGAGTCACGGCGGTCAAGATCAACGCGGCGGGATCCGTCACATCACGAGATCGCTGAACGGCATGAGCGGGCTGAGGCTATACGACTGCCTCCTCCTCAACGGCACCAGCGGCGATGACGGGTACGGTAACGGCCGCGATGACTTCAACGGAACGAGGGCTGCGGCACATCGAGGAAAACGGCGATACGTACGAGGCAGGCACACGGATGCAACGGGCGTATCAACAAGCCGGGCGTCAAACGCCAGTCTCTGATGATGACGATCAGCCGGTACGGCGGGAGACCCAAGACTGCATCTTCGTCGCTGGCCTCACGGACGATGCCGCCCTTGAGGATGTATGGGATCAATTGGAATCACAGTTAGATGAAGCGGATCAGGCACGTAGTGCACTCGAAGAAGGAGGCCTGTTGTAAACACCAAAGAATAGTCTCATCAGCATAGAAAGCGCAGTACGAATAGCTTCAATTTTGGGTGCCTTATCGTTGAAGGAGAACTGTTACTACCTGGCTCTACTTATCGTAGAGAATGTGTGCATACAAATTGGCGGTATCGGCCCTCTTCGGCCGTCAGCCACAGTTAATCCACTTTTTGGGTGTACAGTTAATGAAAGTGGGTGGATAGATAACTTGGGCCTTGATTAAGTCTTTGATTTTGTGCACATTCTTTGACGAGTCGTTGCCTGTTCACTGTGGATTCAAGTATACTTTAACTGCCGGGCTCTATACACGTTCCGGTAGACATGGTTACCGGCGCCGGCTGCAAACAGTCCTGTGCCGCCTAGTCTGCGGCCCGGTCTGGGCCTGGGTGACGGTGTCGGCGTGAGATTGCAGATGGAGAGAGCCCTAGTTACTGAACACAGCTGACGAGGTGTGCTGGTCCGCCTCGTGGGATGGCGGCAGCAACTGGCTTCAGCGGTGGGTTGATTCTGACGCTATTGTGAGGTTGTTTCCACTTGAAGAATTACTCCTCGCAAGCCTAGTAGAAGAGGGGCTGGAGATGATATCATCGAGGTCCAGGTTGTTCCCATTGCTAGGTTACCCGCCGGCCAAGGACGGACCTTTCCGTGTCGTCGTGGGCATCTATATCACCGCACAAGGTGCATATCCATAAATTAGCACGAGGCGTATATGGAGAAGTCAGCTTGTAGATATATATATACGTCCGCAAAGAAATCCCTCTTGTCAGGGAACTCACCAGATTCGTTCGTTATCCATACACTCCTTTATTGTTTGTTTGATTCCATAACCATGATTGCCTCGTACGCGACCCTCGTTGGCACCCTCGCCACCCTGCAGGCCGTGTCGGCCCAGCAATTCAAAAGCAACGATGTCCTCCAGCGGCTTGAGAATCGCCTCGAGATTGGCGACGAGTGCCACTCACCCCAGGACACCTACGTCCTCAGCAAGGCCGGCCAGCCGACGATCCCCCCCTGCATCGCCGAGCAGGGCATCTCGAGCGCCTGCGAGGCGCTGACGCAAGCCCTGATCCCGCAGTCGGACCCCAAGAAGGCCGCTGCGAACTACAAGGCCTACCAGCAGTGCCTGACGGGCCCCGGCAGCTCCTACAGAGAGGAGATCATGGGCTGCCTGGCGTGCAAGGTGCAGCACAACAAGCTATCCAAGGCCCAGCACGACTACTATGTTAAAAAATGGACCGCCGGTCTCAATGCGTTTGCCGCTGACGCCCAGCCTCAGACTTACGTGTGGAATTATGTGCAGGGCGGCATCGACTGGGTCGAGTACAAGAAGCTCCCCACGCCAAACCCGAGTGACAAGGTGTCAGTCAAGCCCGTTGCCGAGTACTATCCGCAGGCGCCCAAGGTTCAGGGCCTCGGCACCTTCACCCATGAGAACCGCACGTATCCGGAGGCGGCGCTGCGGGAGCAAGGATTGCTGCCGCAGGAGCCAGTTCAGCGCCTTGACCCGGTCGGCATGCTCATCGACGCCCAGGTGAAGGCCGCCCCCGCCGCCGTCAATGCCCAGTCGGAGTCCGTGGTCCAGCCCACGACGCTCGTCCGCCTGGCTTCGGGCTCCAAGCTCTCGGCCAGCACGGGCACTGTCGCCAGGAGCTCCGAGCTCTCTGCCGTCTCCAGCACCGCGGCTCCGGCTGGCACGAGCTCCAAGTCCGCTGTCGTCTCCGGCTCCGTGCTTCCGGTCGTCCCCGGCTCCGTGCTTCCGGTCGTCTCCAGCTCCAGGCTTTCCGTCTTCTCTAACCACACCAGCGCCGTCGCTCCCCTTTCCGACTCGGCCGCCACTACCTCTCACACCGGGGCTACCGGACCCACCCCTGTCGCCGCGTCCCAAACCCAGTCTGCCGTCGCCGTTGCCGATATCAATGTCGCCGCCGCAACCAGCGCCTCGAGCAACGCCGAAGTCCTCGTCCAGAGCTGCTACCGAGATACCACCATCTTGGTCAAATTCGGGCCCGGCCTACACTTTAGCGTCGTCGACGTCGCCGGCACCATCCACGCCGTCGCCGGCGCCGAGCTCCGCCGCATCCCTGCGAGCCAGGCCGCCCGTCGCGGGCTCCCCGACCTCTCCGGCTGCGAGACGTGCAAGCAGACGGTCAGCCTCGGCAGCGCCGCGCGCAGCAGCGCCGTGACCAACCACCCCGCCGGACGCGTCGGCCAGCAAGTTTGCGCTGTGTTTGGCGACAAGTCCCTCCCCGAGCAGGTTCGTCGGGAAAAGGCCCAGGATATTGTGCATGTTGCCGGCGAGATTACGGTGAGCGCGGCTGCGCATGTCTCTGCCAATGTTGGTGTTGCTGCGACTTTCAAGGATACGCCCGCTCGCCCGGGCCGGAAGCAGGCCGCCGTTGACGAGATCAAGACCCAGGGCTCTGCCAGCCAGAAGCAGGCTGTTGCTGGCGAGGTCCTGGCCCAGACCGAGGCCCGGGTCGAGGCCAAGCTCGAGGCCAAGGTCCCTGCCAATCAGAAGGAGGCTGTCGTTGGCCAGGCTCAGACCCAGGTCGAGGCTCAGGTCGAGGCCAAGGGCCCTGCCAGCCAGAAGCAGGCTGCCGCTGATGAGTCCAAGGCCAAGGTCTCTGTCAGCCAGAAGGAGGCTGTCGTTGGCCAGATCCAGACCCAGGCCCAGGCCAAGGCCCAGCTCGAGGCCAAGCTTCAGGCCCCGGCCCCGGCTCAGGTCTCTGCCGATAACGCCGCTGCCGACTCTTGCTAGAAGGCCAGCAGATCGCCGCTCTCTGCTGCGAAATGGCCATGCTTGGCTCGCTCTCGGTCCATAAGGGACTATGATGGGATTACAGTGTTGGGCCAAGAGTCAAGGCGGCAAGGGGTGGTTTTGGGGGACAGCCAAGTGTAATTTGACCCGTTTATGCCACGCTCGTTATGTTATTGGTTCGCATGCGGTGGGTGCATGGTCGATGCCTTGGTTGCTTGGTTTTTTCCCATGGTAAAAAGATGTGGGAATCCTTTCACTTCTGATATGCCGGGCAAGAAGCCATTCCTGCCTTCAGCATAGTGTTTACTCATACATACAGCTACCCTGGATAAACATTGAAACACTTGTGTCACATTTCATCATCACGTCTCATGTGTGACATGGAGCCAATGCATTAGTCAGGCCGAGTCTAATATTTTCACCCTTGGAATCTTGGATAGGGTCCCGGCCTTATCAACTTAAGACGATATATACGTAGCGACACTCACGTATCATGGCAGGCCGAGGGCAGCAATAAACCGACATAGCTAACTTTGGTTCGCGGAATTAGGCGGACGGTTTATCTATAGTCTCGAGGACACGGTAGGCTTCGTCGAAAAAGTGCTTCACGACCTCTGAATAGTAGAGATGAGAACTTTTATCTACCGCTAAGTCCGCGGAGGCTTAACCGCAGTACAGCATACGTAACGGGCGCGCCTTATCCAAGGCGGATAGCGACAGGCTGGCGCTTACGAGGGAAGCGCTTTCCAAGTAGGAGGACAGTGACAGCCCGTTTAGCCAGAGGTACGCTTCTCGATCGATACCGCAGCCGTTAGCTACCTAGATACTAACCTCGTCTAGTGTAAAAATCACAAAGGCATCTTAAGCGGAATATCAAACGCCGATACAGAAACGGCTACTAAAGCATCCTCGATGTTAACTAAGACGAGGCGTGACGTTGCCGAAGAGGTATATACGGCACTACGGAGCGGCAAGCTAGGCTTCTATGTTAAAGGCAGCAATCAGGCACATAAGCCACGAAGCATTCGCGAAGGAGCACTGGGTCGGCAGTATTGCCACAGCGATGCTATGGCCAGGGATAATGTAGACGTCGGGCTCACATCGACGACAAATCGTCAAGCTTATAGGCTTAGCTACAGCAAGCCGCCAGATATTGTTATGGCGGGCGGGAAGCTTGAGGCGAGTGACCCCAGAAGCCGCGGCGGAGTATTACGATGCCGCCTGGTGGGTCAGCCCCAAGAGGACACGACGCTATGGACACAATATATATACCTATACGCCTTTTTCATATCATCTTTCTCGTAAGCGACCGATCTTACGAGACTCCTAGTTATAAGCGTTCGCTAAGAACCAGGCTACGGATTTAAACTACGTTAGACTTTAAAAGTAGGCGCCCGTGGCTACTTATAGGCCGCTTAATTTTTTTAGTCCAGTCTATAGGTAGAAATAGGTTTTAAGATAAAAGACTATATTTACCTATAGGTTATTAATATATACTTTAGGTAAAGCTAGGTACCTAGACTAGCCTAAAATAACTTAATAGATTCTTATTTAAAGTAACGTTTAGTTAAGCGAATTTATAAGATTAAAGAACTAAAAGTCTAATACTAATTAATTATACTAATTATCTCTTTATTTCTAACTTAGAGCTAAGATATTTTTAGCCTCTTTTACTCTTAACTTTCTACCCTTATACTTCCCGCTAGCTAAGATAAGCTTAAGCCTATCTATAGTTATTATAGGCTCTTTTATACCTAATAATTATAGTAATTCTTTAAATATTTTATCCTTATTAGCCTTATTATTTAAGGGGACTTTATAAGTCTTTTTAATTATTTAAGGCTATTTATAGTCGGAATTATCTTTATTTTCGCTCTATTACAGAGTAAGTAAAGGCGTAGGCTTAGGTACGGTCCGTTAAAAGAGGGTTAATAATCTATAAAGGGGAAAAGGAAGAGAAGTATAAGCCTAGCCTATATAGGCATAAAGGCTACTTATATATAGACTTAGCCTAGACCCTAGTCTAGGCCTATATAGGGCAAAAGCCCTTATATTATACCCCTACCTAGCTTTTAAAGAGGCGCGCCTCTAAATAATACCTAATACCGCGCCTAAGGGGACGGAACCCTCGCGCGGACTACGTACGCCTAGTCGCGGAAAAAACGTTAGTAAATAACGTATAATACCCTCCTAAGTAAGCTTCTCGGATAGACTATATTATTAATAGGGGCCGCGCCCTAAGAGTCGGGCTTTAGCACTTCTAGCTAAGGAGCAGAGGCACGTAGAACGGCGCGTAGCTAGCTTCGGTAAGCTTATAGTATCCCGCCCCCCTTATATCGGCGCACGGTAATAGCTCCTAGTACTATAATATAGGGGACGGTACTCCGGTATATAAGGCTCTACTCCCTCCCGTACGGGGCTATACGGGCACTCCCTTTCGCTATAGTTATATTATATTAGCGGCCTTCCTATATCTTAGCCGCCCTTTCGGTCGCTATAGGCATACGTCCCATCTATATAGTAGCTACTACCGTACGCGAGGGGACGCCGATAAAGCCCGTAGAGGCGTTACTAAGATTACTCGTTACTAGAGTCGCTATCGTCGAACTTAACCTCCTTTCTATCCTAGCGCGTACGCCCCTCTATTACTTAGAGTACGTTTACCCGCGCCTCCTAGCGCGGGTACTTTAAAAACTAATAGGATTTACTACTATAGCCTATATAGCGACCCTCCTATCGCTACCTCTTTCTATCCTCGGTCCTTAAGGCGGAGATAGAGATATCTATAGTATTACTAGCGTTATCCTCTTCTTATATTATAGAAGAAGATAAAAAAAGAAACTTATTATTACTAAGCTCGCGAAGAAGGTAGACGAGATTAATATATATATTTAATAGTATAGACCTTTTACTTAAATAGGTACGCTAATCTATATTTAAGCTTATAACGAGGTAATTATACTTTACTATATTAAGCTAGCTATATATATTTACTTAATAAAGTACCTCTTTAAACTATATAAGGTAGGCTAGAATAGCTTTACTTTACTTTTAACGGAGCGTTATAAGCTCCTAGCCTACCGACTTAGCTATATTAGGTTCGCCGTAATTAATATAGAGCTTTATAAGGAGGTTAGCTAGTCTATTTATACTAATACGCGTAAATAGTAAGAGATACCTTTATAAGTATAAGGATAGGCTCGCGTAAAGATAGTTAAATTAAGCGCGGATATCCCTTATTACGGCGCTATTAATATAGAGCTTCGCTTCTATATAAAGTAGCTATAGCTCGAGCTCTATAAAGGAGCTATCGAACTTACTAAGGTATAGTAGTACCGCTCTTAGTTATACGGAGCCCTACTATTATAAGAGGCTCTTAATTGCCTAAGCGAACTAAGTATTACGTTCGCTTTAATTTTACGACTATAAGAGTATAGATATTTCGCGTATATATATACCGGCGTAGGCGGTTTAACTAAACTAGGTAATTAAACGTTAGCTTTAAAGGTAGCTAAAAATAGCTATTCTATATATAGGGATATAGAGAGGGTAAAATAAAGGGTAGATTATACTATTATAGAGTAGGTAGAGGCGTAGGCTTAGGTATAGTCTATTAAAAGAAGGTTAATAATCTATAAGGGGGAAAAGGAAGAGAAGTATAGGCCTAGCCTATATAGGCACGGAGGCTGCTTATATATAGACTTAGCCTAGACCCTAGTTTAGGCCTATATAAAGCAAAAGCCCTTATACGCTCCCCTTACTATTAATCTCTATAATAATAGTTTTCTTTTTTTACTATACCTTTAATTATTATTACTCTTTTAATTACTTTTACTTCTTATTAAAATTATCCTTTTAAGCTTAAACTTTATAAATACGCGCTTCTTTAATCTTTATTAGTCGTATACTTTATAAAAGCTTTTATTTTTTAACTTTTAATAAATTAAAAAAGCTATACTAAGAGGTAGAACTATATATTAAAGAAAAAAGGTTAATATAAATAACTAATATAATAACTTTCCTTATAGTATAGTAGTTATATACCTAAGAAGCTTACTAGCTATAATACTAAAGTCGGTTCGAATTTAGCTAAGGGCACGATTAATTTTTAGTCGGACTAATAAACTATACTAACCTACTTATTAATTAGCTAGTTAGCGCTTCTAAAAGCGCTTATAAATATACTAGTAGTCTAGCCCTACTATAAGTAGGCTAGCTTAGACCTCGCCTACCTAGACCTAGTAACGAATTTATTAGGACCTCCCCTTAACCCTAGTCTAGGCCCCCTAACTAGGAAAATAAAAACCTAGGGCCGATACTAGTAACTTAATAAGTATAGCGCGAAGCTAGTATAATAACTTAACTACCGGCCTAGCTAAAGGCTAGTATTAATAAAAAATAGCCCGCTAAGCCTTATAGTAGAAAAATAAAGTAGAGCCTAGGAAGATATTATTATAGGATAAGGTTAAAGATAATTATATAATTAACTATTAACTATTAACTAAAAAAAACGCTTATACTACCGATTAACGCTATATACCCCGCGTATATAAAGGAGTTACTTTTTAAGGTTACTTTATAGCGGGGCTAATATAATTCCGACTAACTATTATAATACCTAAGATAGCTAGTATAAGATTCTTATATATTATAACCGCGACCTAGTATAAGGGCGGACTAGCTATAAAAAAAAGAAGGGTTTTCCTTTAAGTACTTTAGTTTTTCCCTTTTATTTAACGCTAAAGTTCTAGATACCTTTAGATAGGTTAGTAGTATAATCTTAATAATAATAATAATATAATAACTTTAAAGAACTTACTTATATATATTTAATAATTATATTAGAAAACTTCTTATAAAACTAATATATATATATAATAGGTATATATCGCGACTAAAATACTAACTAATACTAGGAATTAACTTAGTAGTATTAATTACCCTTAGTAATAATACTATACTAAGGCTAAGAGGTATATAGATATAGTAGCGGCCCTTAA